CATTTTTACAATACTGCTGCTCTCTTTGCTTTTCACAGCAAAGCCTTTCTTCTGCATGTGGCTGTTCACAATTTTGCAAGAAGACAGAGAAGGGAGGGTGGGGTGAGGGAAGTTGTTGGGTTTGTTGTCATGTTACAGTGGCTGTTTCTGTCCGGGATGTTTTACTAAGATCTGTGTCATTCACACGCAGATACTGACTTTAAACCTTTTGTTTTGTTTCCTGCCCTAAATAAATAAAATGGCTGACCCATAGTAACAGTATCCACTGTGCAAGAGGCAACAATGCCGCTGCCTGAAGAATAGTTCTCTCAACTTCAGAAAGCTAATGGCATAAATTGCATGTTTAGCACTCATTTCCATGTTATCTGAGTCAGAAAAAATCTGTTTGCATGCCCCCAGGAGTGGTTTGGGGTGATACAGCAGCATTTGGTTCTTTCCTGCTGTTTTCATGGGGGAATCATGGGGGAACAGAAGCAGGCATGTGCAGGAAGGGTGGACGAGTAGCAACATTGCCCAGTGACATTCATGGTTCTGTCACACTGGTGTGCATTAAATTTAGCACAATGTGCAGGTATATTGGTTGAAGAGACACATTTCCATAATGTACCAGGTACTGCAGTGTGAAAGGAATCTTAGCAACTGGGATAGAAGTGCTGGCAACGTAACCTGGAAAACTAACACAATATTCTCCATGTCTGAATGCATTTTCAGACCATATTCAACACTTTCCCAAAACATATTCAACACTCTTAAACAACAAACAATGAATTCTATTGATGTCTCCAAATCCTGCATATCACTTGTATCCACAGAGGAACCTGCCTCGTTTAGATTCACACTGTTGGTCACCACAGCTCTGTATTGTCTATTCTGACTGGAAACAGCTCTCCATAGAGCCACATGAAGCAGCCATGTTGCTGAAGCTTAAGGGGCACTGAACCTGGTCAGTGGCTGGATGGGCAACTGTCTGGGACCACTTGCACACTGCCTTGGGTTCCATGATGGGGAAAAAGACAGGATATATATCTGTCAGAAGACAAGATTGCCCGGATTGACCCTGAGATCTTCTGCAGGCAAAGCAGAAGAAAAGTACTGAGCGACCGTCTTTTACCAGCCTGCATTTCTCGACTTAAAAGGATGCCTTTGAATACATTGCCCTCCTTCTCTTTTCTTTCCCAGACAAATGGTTGATTTCTCGGAAGAACCTCAAAACGAGGAGAGAAGATATTAGAACTTGTTGAAAGACGACAGCCAGAAACATGCCGTCATTTTGTGGTCATGAATTTCTCTTTGGAAAAATCCTCACATTAGATACACCTTTTCATCTGGGAGTGGAAATCTCAGGAACCCATCACACACCCACACACACCGCCTGCACAGACAATATTTACAACCGCTGTGTGGGTGCCTCAGGCTGGGAAGAGTGCAAGGCATCTGCCACACCTTAGGGAAATGCCACTGAAGAATGGGGTACTGTCATTCTAAACTGGTGGAAACAGGCGTGAAAATGCTGGAAGAAGCACAGGATTTATAGTGTCCTTGGCACTGGGAATTTTGGATTTCTTCTTAACCCTTTGTTGCTGTGGAGAAAATATAAGTTAAACAACTCTACAACTCTTAGTGAAAAGGTGCAAAGAGAATCCTCTCTTGGGGATTGCAACACACACACCCAACAACAACTTTCCTGGAGGAGCGGGACATGCATGGCAAGGAAGTTGAAAATAGTGGAAACATGACTTCTTCTTCTTCTTCTTCTTCTTCTTCTTCTTCTTCCAGTGGTACCTCAGGTTACAAACACTTTGGGTTACAGACTCTGCTAACCCGGAAGTAGTACCTCAGGTTAAGAACTTTACCTCAGGATGAGAACAGAAATTGTGTGCTGGCGGCAGCGGGAGGCCCCATTAGCTAAAGTGGTACCTCAGGTTAAGAATGATTTCAGGTTAAGAACGGACCTCCGGAATGAATTAAGTTTGTAACCAGAGGTACCACTGTATTACTATTATTATTATTATTATTATTATTATTATTATTATTAATGATATTTGTATCCCATTTTTCTTCCAAGGAGCTGAAAGAGGAACAGTTGCTGAAGTAATTAGGCTGAATTAGGTGCTTTCAGAAGCAGGCCTCATATCACACATGCAGCATTCAGATCTGATTTTATTTGTCTATGCATTGGCCCGTTAGCTTTCACACACTCCATTTTTTGCAGTCATGGACTTCCATTGCTATCCTGCTGCTTGCCATCCAAACTGGCGGGTGGAACCTGATGGGAATGTATTTGGGCTGTCTTTTCTGTCCCTTCCCTCAATCCATACCTGTCAACTGTCCCGATTTTCCAGGGACATTCTGGAATTATAGAAGCCACTCTGGCTTTTAATTGGATCCCGGAATGTCCTGTCCCCCCCCCCCAATGCCACCACCGGGTTTGGGGAGGAGGGTGAGCAAGTGTGGTTGCTTGCAGTTGCGCTGCACTTTTGTGCGAGTCAGCTGACTCCCCCGAGACTGCGGCACCAGAAACGCACATCCTTATTTTCATTAGCAGACTGTTGGAGGGTCTGCCTCAATCACTCCCCATCCTCAGGCTCAGCTTCCTTTCCCCATTCTGGACATGTGTGCAGTTATCTCTGTATCTATGCATAAATACCTTTTTTTAGTTTAAAAAACAAAACCCAAGAAAGTACACAAAAGCTCAAAAGTAAATATTAAGAACATGAGGAGAGTTCTGCTGGATCAGGCCAATTGGCCCATCTAGCCCAGCATCCTGTTCTCAAAGTGGCCGACTAGTTGCCTGTGTGAAGCCCGCAAGCAGGATCCAAGCACAACAGTGCAATCCCCTCCTGTGGTTCCAGCAACTGGTACTCAAGAGCATTGCTGCCCCCAGCCATGGAGACAGAGCATAGCCACCATGGCTAGTAGCGACTGATAGCCTTCTCCTCCATGAATTTGCCCAATCCTCTTTTAAAGCCAGCCAATGCCACCTTCTTTTAAAGACATTGCCACCCTCTTCACAAGGGACAAAAGAGAGACTTATGCTTATTAGGGGGAGGGGGTTGGAAGATTGGGGTGTTTTTTTTAAGCGGGGAAAGGAGGGTGTCCCAGGGCAAGATGAACCCTTGCAGTTGCCCAGTCTTGTGCTCAGTTGCTGCTTACAGGCTTCCTACAGGCATCTGATTGGCCACTGTGAGGACAGAATGCTACACTAGATGGGCTTGATCCAGCAGGTCCTTCTGATGTTCATATGTTAATACTCTGTGTTCTGGCACTGGGTTTGTTCATCATTACATGCTGTCATGTTCCCCACATGAGCAAATATTGACAGCTTGGGAAATGCCTGATGATTGAGGGAACGAAGTGTTTTCTGGAAGGCAAGGCAGGCAGAATTAGGGCAATAGTTGCATCAAGCAGAACAGATAAAATCGGGACAAAATTTGTCCCAGGCAGAGTGGAAGCTAGTTTGGCAATGTCTACAGTTGTGATGGGTGGGAAATGTTATCACTATTACTGTAAGTGAGGGCTTAAATCGACTTCCTTTCAACACTAAGGACCAGTTTAATATATTGGTCCCTGGCATTTCACAATCACCTGCCTGAGTCTGCATTTTGCAAAACCTGTCCAATTTTATAATGACACGATTGGGCTCCATTGATTTCCAGTGGGGTTATATTTATGTTTATTTACATCCTACCTTTCCCCCAGAACTGGGGTTCAAGGTTCATATGGGAGAATATGGTCCTTCAGATAGCCTGGACCTGAGCTGTTTAGGGCTTTATAGGTCATAAACAGCACTTCAAATTGTGCCAGGAAACAGGCTGGGATAAAACTAAGCATTTGCTTAACTCTTCCATTGAAATGGATGAAACTTAGAAGTATGTCACTTAAACTGTATTTATTATTTTTTTCTTGCATTTTATGGAGGAACCTCACCTAAGCATATTAGCCTACTGGCGTTTGACACATATGTGGGAATTGTTGACAATTAGGTTGTGATGGCCTGTTGTTCAACAACAAGAAATCTGCGATTCCTGCATTGCAGGGTTTGGGCTAGATGAGCCCCTTGGATCTCTTCCAGCTCTACAATTTTGTGATTCTGTGAACAAGAAAGGGCGATTGATTGTTTCAGTGGAATTTCTTCCTGTTAGGTATACATAGAGTTGCAGCCCCAGTACTTTCTCCCTTCCACCCCTTGTAGTAAACGAAACAATGAGCTGCAGTGTTTACAAAACTCAACCACTGAGCAAAGAGGAAAAAGAAAAGAAAAGAAAAGACCTCTTTATCATTGTGGTTTGCATTGTGGTGTACATGTGCCTGGGGGGAACAAACTGTATGAACATGACTCACAGTCCATTTGGAGAATTCATGATCATGATCTTTGGCTTAAACCCACAGATAATTTTGTCAGGTTGCAGCTGATTTGCACCCATCTTCTGCAAAGGCGAGCAGGAGTTGGGGGTCTGTGCAGATCTGCTGATGTTTCCACTTCGATGGAGAAAACGCCCACTCACAAGGCAGACCTTGGCTGGGGTGGCCACTTAAACACCCCCTCCCAAATGAGGAAATGCATCACCCAACAAGAGGACAAAAAAGGAAAACACTCTGCATACAAGTTGCCTATGTTAATCTATAGGTATAGGAGCAAATATAGAAATAATTACTACTATTTAACTAGAAATGCAATATATCCTGCCATAGTGCAAAAGACTGACCAGGCATGACACCTGAATAGAGTCAGAGCATAACCAGTTAGGGCCTAACTGCATGTTACATAACTACTGCTTTGGGGTTTTGTTGTTTTTTTTTTAAAAAATTAAATATCATACATGGGGTGCAGTTTTGGTTTGTGCAGGGGAAGGAGGTTTAAGCTTGGCAGCCACCATTTTCATTAAAATCCTTGTGTCGCATGGTTTTTAGGGAAAAAACTCTGCTGTCGAAATTTGGCAAGGGGTAGGAAGAGAGAAGGAGGATAGCATTGTCTCAACAATTAGATGAACAGAAGAAAGGCCGTAGCTCAAGGGTAGAGCATCTGCTTTGCACCGGAAAGGCCCCAGGTTCAAGCCCTGGTGTCTCCAGGCAGCTGAGGGAAAGACTCCTGTCCAGAACCCTGGAGTGCTGCTGCTACTCAGTGAAAACAATCTTGAGCTAGATGGATGGATGATCTAAGGGGGCTTTCTTCCTGTGTTCATGCAGAGCTTTCAGAAGGTTCCAGGTTCAGACCCTTGCTTCTCCAGGTACAACTGAGAAAGACTCATATCTGAAAACCCAGAGAACCACTGTTAGTCAGTGTGAACAACACTGAGTTAGATGAACCAATGGTCTGAGTCAGTATTAGGCAGCTTCCTATGTAAGATGCTGTGTACCATTTGTGTTCGCAGTTAGGGTTGATTGCCTGCTCCTTCTTAATTCAAATGTTTGGAGAGGGGGACACCATACTCAGAGCTGGGTCTTGGTCTATGACCTTGGTTTCAGTCATAAAGGTACTGGGTTTTGGCCTCCATTGATGGTTCAGAGTTTCTTGTTCCAAACACTGAACAGCCCCCTTGTTTGTTTTCCAACTTGAATTTATGCCTCATTTTGGCACAGAAAAAGACCAACTGTTATATGAGATTTGGAGAAAAACGTTCATGTGATGGATAGCTGCTGAACGACCCCAGCGGTGCTCTCCTATCTGTGGGGGAGGAGTTTGGCATTTGCTTCTGATAGCCAAAGAATACATTTTCCCCTTGAATTACAATTAGAGCCAGGGATCCAAAGCAGTTTATTTTTTTTAGAGACAACTTTCAGAAGGGCAAGTCCATATTTGTTGCTTACAGCAGAAACAGCAACAGTGACTTCTGGTACCTTAAGAATTAGTGGATTCATTGGGTCAGAAGGTTTTCTAATCCACAGGCAACCGATGAAGTGGATTCCATCTGTGAAAGCTCTTACAACACTACAGCCATGTCTGCATGTCACACTAAGTCAAACAACACCACATGCAAATGTGTTGGCTCCTGAGGAAGAGATCATGACTGCTTTCTCCACAGACTTTTTATTTGTTTGTTTTGTATTTCTATCCCACCTTTACCTCAAGGAGCTCTAGGTGGCATGCATAGACCCCCCCATTTTGCCTATAAAACAACCCTGTAAGGTAGGATAGGCTGAAAGTGAATGACCACTGAGCCTTGGGCTTGCCGATCAGAAGGTCGGCGGTTCGAATCCCTGTGACGGGGTGAGCTCCCGTTGCTCGGTCCCTGCTCCTGCCAACCTAGCAGTTCAAAAGCACCCCAAAAAGTGCAAGTAGATTAATAGGTACTGCTCCGGCATGAAGGTAAACGGTGTTTCCATGCACTGCTCTGGTGTCAGTGTTACATTGCACCAGAAGCAGCTTAGTCATGCTGGCCACATGACCTGGAAAAATATCTGCGGAGCGGACAAACGCCAGCTCCCTGCCTGTAAAGCGAGATGAGCACCGCAACCCCAGAGTCATTTGCGACTGGACTTAAGTGTCAGGGATCCCTTTACCTTTACCTTTACCTCCCAGGTCCTAGTCTGACACTCTAACCACTACACCACACTCGCTTCACATGTCACTGAACCCAGGGTCATGGTTAAGCTCTCTCCTCCTTAACCACAATTTGCCATCAAGTTTGTCCTATTGTTATGGGTCGTGGTAAAGAACTGGAGACCTTTCGCAATACCCAGATTTGGATGTCACAAAGAGGGCCCCTTCAGGTGGTTTTTTAAATTTATTGTGGGTGTGTTCTTGAAAGTACATTAGTAGTGAATTTATTCCTCTTTCTGAGTTGTCCTGCAATGCTTCCCCACTGCTACCAGGTTATTCCTGTTGGGAGGGGCTGTAGCACAGCAGAAGCGGGACAAGAATAAATCTCTCCTGGTGAAGTCACCCAGGGGAGGAGAGAGAATGGTCTGAGTTCTGACCATTTCAACAGGAAAAGATAACCAATTGGGTCTTCTGTTAACATGCAAATCTTATCTAGTTTGATAAGAAGAAATCCTTCTTGGCTTCTTACATCAACATGCATTTCAGTGGGTGTGGGGCAGGCAGGACACAGGAAGCAGGGGTTTTTTTTGGTCATTTATAGAAAGAAGACTTCCCTATTTTTCCTTCTCTGCGTGATGCACCTTGCCTCATGTTATCTCTCTCTACAGTTGGATGGGTGCCCCCCCCAAAAAAAGTTAAGGGAGTGAAAAGTGAGCATGCTGCTGATTTTGTCTGAGTCATCTTCCTTTTTAGAGATTTTCACTCACTGAAATTTGTACTGCAGGGAAATGGGTTGCAAACATGACTTTGGGGGAAGTGTGCTACGTAAAGAAATAGGGTGCACTTAAGAAGAGAGCAATGTACAAAAGTAGTTCATTGGAAGTGATGGTGAGAAGGACACACATCATTTTTAAAATAGGGGAAAAGATGTCAAAGGGATATTTTGATATCTCAAAAATTGTTTCCAAGACAATTGACATGGAGTGGGTTAGAGGACATTCTGCCCACCTGTGTTCTTAGAAAATTTCAGTATGTTCAGGCCAACTATATTACAACAATTAATTCAGTGTTTGCCTGAATGTTTTCCCATCTAAAGACCCTTCCTACATAAATATTGCTGTGAGCATACCCACTATCATCTACTCTGATTAACTCATGGTTTTGAGTCCAAAAACAAAACACTTTAGGGTCTCTTGAAAATACAATGCCTAGTTATGTCTGATACACTACATATTTTGGGAATGCGTTAGTCTGTTTGTGGGTTTGGACACCTCTTAAGATATCATAACCAAATTTTGCATGATGTTTCCTGGAATCAAGGAACAGGCTTTCATCTATGTTTTAATGCAATCTGACACCATTCTGAATCAAGATTTATTCATTATTACATTTATATCTCACCTTTTTATCCTCCAAGGATCTAAAGCTGGTATACATGGTTCCCCCTGACCTATTCCATCCTCACAACAAGCCTCTGAGGTAGGTTAGGCTAAGAGATGGCGACTGGTCTGAGGTCACCTAGTGAGCTTCATGGCTGAGTGGGGATTCAAAACCTGCTCTCCCAGGTCCTAGTTCACCACCAAATTCTGCATGATGGTTCCTGAAATCAAGGAGCAGGTTCTCATCTATTATTGTTATCTATTGATAATTTGATTGTTTTATCTTTTTTGTAAAATGCTTTGAGGGTTGTTTTTTGTTTTTTTGTTACAATCAAGTGGGGTCTAAATTTCATTAAATGAATGATGAATGAAATGCAAAACAAATGAATCTCTCCCCCATTTCCAGGCAGGGGGAAGCACAGTTTTCTCCCTCCCTCCCCAACATAACTGCAAAGGCAAACTGGAATTTGCTGCCAGGTGGTCACATTATCCAGGAGCCTGCAAGTCAAGGAGAGTGAAGTCACTTTCATTTTAGGTATCATGTTCAAAGCAGTTCTCGGCATCTTGCTGATCTGTGACTTGTGGGTGGGGAATGAAAGAACTGCTTGCAATGGGGAAAGTATTGAATCTGACATATGCAAGCTGCAGACAGGCTGTTTCACACAAGCAAGTCATCCCCTTATGCTTTGCCATTCTGTGGGCATGCACAGGTGAATTCACTGAAGTTTTTAGATTTGCAGATAACTTCTGCTTCTGGTGCTGCATCTAAAACTCTGGGGGCAGGCTTCCCCAACCTGTTGACCTCCAGTTGTGTTGGACCACAAGTCCCATAAGTGTTGCTGGGGGGGTATGTGTGTGATGGGAGTTGTAGTCCAGAGCATCTGAAGGGCACCAGGGAGGCAAAGGTTGCTCTGTGTAGGAAAGAACAAAAGAAGGAACTGAAATTGACAGATTAATTCATCCTTAATGTAGGGAAAGGCAGCTTCCTGTGTTCCCAGATGGCACAATTTCCATCTTCACCCCTGACCACAGTGACTTACAAGCCAAGGTTAGCTGCAGCCAATAAGTCCAGAGAACTGAAGAAAGTAAGAGAAGGCAAGGCACACACTGCCCTCATCTAATTTAGAAGCTCAAATGTTGCAGCTCTTTTATTGAAGCACAAATAAGGAACTATCGGCACCCACCCTCGAGAGTCAGCCTTTTTCAGTTCCTTTTCTAAATGTCTGTCTTTGGACAAAAGCAATCCAGTGAGAACATCTAACCCAGAACTTATCCACAGTGGGATCAGATGAGTCACTCTTCTGCTCGGAAACTTTACTGGAATGCCTTTCTGTCCATTTTCAGTAACTAGGGCATGCACCCAGTGTTCCTCTTTATCTTCAGAACACACACACACACACACACACACACACACACACACGTGTGTCTCCTTTTCCATCATGATTTTCACAGAGAACTTTCCAGACTATTGAGAGTGAAGCATCTACTGTACTTTCTCATTTTGTAATAATAAACTGAGTTACTGGGGAGGGGCAACGGGAGGGAGTAGAGTCAGAGATGTGGATAAACAGATAATTTAATAAATTTAAAAATTGTCCAGTAGCACCTTAGAGACCAGCTAAGTTTGTTCTGGGTATAAGCTTTAGTGTACATGCACACTTCTTCAGAAACACATGAAAGCTTATACCCAAACTTAGTTGGTCTCTAAGGTGCTACTGGACAATTTTTTAATTTATTTCGACTGCGTCAGACCAACACGGCTACCTACCCAAATCTAGATAATTTGATGTGTGTGTTAGAAAAGAGAATTACAGATTCAGTTTTCAAATACAACAATTTCACTACACTCTAGCACAAATACAAACTATCTTAATACAGTTTAATACACAACACCCAACTTTCCCCCACTCCTAAAAACCAGTTGATCCTGATACCCTATAGAAATGACTTTACAGTGGTGCCCCGCAAGACGAATGCCTCGCAAGACGGAAAACTCGCTAGACGAAAGAGTTTTCTGTTTTGGAGGTGCCTCGCAAAATGAATCTGCTATGGGCTTGCTTCGCAAGACGAAAATGTCTTGCGAGTTCCTGGGGGTTTTTTTTCCTTTCCCCCCTCTTTTTCTAAGTCGCTAAGCCGCTTATCTGCTTATCCGATAAGCTGATAAGCTGCTAAAAGCCGCTAAAAGCCGCTAAAAGCCGCTAAAAGCGCTAATAGCGCTAATCCGCTAATCCCATCAATGGGCTTGCTTCGCAAGACGAAAAAACCGCTAGACGAAGAGACTCCCAGAACGGATTCTTTTCGTCTTGCGAGGCACCACTGTACTATAGTCCATAAATCGGCAGGTGCCTTCATTCAACATTTTAAAAAATATTAAGTTAATAGTAACTAAATTAGGGGTAGCCAATGAAGACCAATCAGTAATAATCAAAGAGCAGGTAAATAAAATATAATTTATCATTTTGGCCATATTTATCTATTTAAAGCATTTTCATTTAAAGCACTTTACATTTTAGGAAATCCCAAAATGGTGTACAGACAATGATAAAAGACATCATAAGCAATAAAAAGCCACAATATAAAACCCAATATTAGAACACCCTTCAAAATCAGCAGTGTGCCCCAACCCAGCTTAATGGCTAGAGAATGCATCATACAGTGACCCCAATGCCCAGTCACAGAAGGACAACCAAGATTCCATTTATGTATTTATGTATTTATTTCATAATACAGTGGTACCTCAGTTTAAAAACAGCCCTGTTTATGAACGATTCAGTATACAAACAATGCAAAACCAGAAGTAGTGTCCCGGTTGCAAACTTTACCTCGGTCTAAGAACAGAATCCGAACGGTGGAAGGGCACTGGTGGGAGGGAGGCCTCATTAGGGAAAGCGTGCTTCGGTTTAAGAACGTTTTCGGTTTAAGAACGGACGTCCGGAACAGATTAAGTTCATAAAATGAGGTACCACTGTACCTTAATTTAGTAACTGCACAGACTTCACATTGTTGGGCTCCAGCTAAAGAAGCATTGCCTAGCTAGGTGCACAAATCAGTATCAAACTGCTGTGATCCTGTATCTGATGAAATGGTGTGGAATGGTCTCCAAAGCAAAATTTAGGAGGGATGGCTGAGGGAGCTGAGTTTGTTTAGCCTGGAGAAGAGGAGATTGGGAGGGGTGATAGGATAGCCACCTTCAAATATCTGAAGGGCTGTCCCATGGAAGATGGAACAAGCTTGTCTCTGGTGCTCCAGAGGGTAGGACCCAAACCAGTGAATTCAAATGACAAATAAACATTAGGAAGAACTTCATGATGGTAAGAGTTGTTCAACATTGGAGCAGACTCCCTCAGAGGGTGGTGGCCTCTCCATCGCTGGAGGCTTGTTTTTTTAAAAACAACAACAACACAGAGGCTAGGTAACTCTGTGAGGATTCTTAAACTGTGATTTCTGCATTGCAGCGGGGTGGACTAGATGACTGTTGGGATCTCTTCCACCCTCATAGTTCTGTGATTCTGTGGGGATTTGTCAGTGTGATTGCACCACAGCAATCTCCTCACTACCATGCCCTTCTCCATCCCAGGAAGCTACAGCAACGCTCCAGACCCCCCCCCCACTGACCTCTACCATAAAAAGTTGGACTTCCCTCCATTCAGTTTAGCACATCTCATATCATAAACAGAATGGTTGGCTACCTCAAGTGTAGGGCAGTCCACTGCCCACTTGACAGTTATGGACTTCTAAACTTCTATTTTATGCTGTTGTTTAATTTCTTTATGGATTTGGATTATCAGTGAACAATACTGAACATATGAACTAATAAACAGTCATCAAAAGGAATGCAAAGCTTGGCAAATGCAGAAAGTAGGTATCAGCTGAAGGTTGCGACCACTCATGTTGCGATATGGACAATCAGATAAAAGTATTGTTCTATAACGTTACTTTTAAACTTCTCAATGAGCCGGTGACTCTACAATCAATTCAGAGCACAAAACAATGCTGGCTTCTTCCTTTAACTACCTCCTGTAAAGCCCTCAGCTTATTAGGGGTCACGGCGAGGTTTTGACCCTGGAATAGCAAGAGCCAGTTATGCAGAGGGCTGCTGCTGCTGCTGCTGTGTCTGCTCTTCCTTACAGCTCTGGGGGCATTCCCTTCCCTCACGCCAAGTGTGTGGCTGAGGCACATGGCTTTTGACACCCTGAAATGCACAAGGAAGTGGAGTGGCGGGTAGCAGCAAGACATCCTTGTGACTTCTTCACCCAGAGCATCATAGGATCCTAGAACTGTGGTGCTGGAAAAGATCTAAAGGGGTCAGCTAGTCCAACTCCCTGCAATGCAGGAATCACAGCTAATTGCAGGATTCCCAGGACTCCCTGTGCCCTTTTCCAGCTCCAGGGTTGCATTCCCTTCTGGGTAAAAGGTTGGTAAGGAGGCACTCAGCTCTGGGAAGCAGGCACAAGGGCTCTGGCAGGGTGCTAGAGCCTTCCAACCTCATTCCCAAAGCTGGGAAAGCACTAACTAGGCTTTGGGAAGATGGAGGAAGTACTCTAAGACCCTGTCAGAGCCTCATGCCTCCTTCCCAAAACCCAGTGCCTCACTTACCAGGTTTTGAGATGCTGCCCCATTGGCTCAGCACCCAATGCGTGCCCACTGCTTGCACAGCTCTAAATGTGCTCCTGCTCTTATAGTTATTTACACTTCCAGCAACCCCTGCTGCCCCCTTAGGTAATCCCCTCACCTCCCAGCGGGTGGTGCCACCCACTTTGGAAAGCACTGTTCTATTGGGTCTCTTCTTCCTTTCCTTTAAACAAAAAAGCCCTAGATGCTGCAACCTCTCCTCTTGAGGGATTCGTTCTGTGGAAATGCCTGACATGAGTTTTCTAGGCTAACCATTTTCAAAGGCCACCATGGAACAAAAGAGATGGGGATGAATGCCAGCCAAAGACGACAGAGGCACGGGGCGGTGAGGAGGTGGGACACAGAGAACAGCTCTGGCAACTACAGCGGCTATCAATCACCGCGTTGAGATGTTTGGGGCTGCCAATGTTTCTGCAAAATTCCTTCCCTCTGCTGGAGCCCTGGAGTCAGCAACATTGGCTGGGAAAAGAAGCCAAAACTCTCCCCTTAGAGGAGTCAACCGTCTCCCGGCTCGAAGACAGGGTGCTGGCATGGAAAAGGAGCTTCACAATCCCCATTGACTGGCAGCAAGCCCAAGCAAATTTGCACATCGCAGTCATTCCTCCGGGGGAATTTCTGGCTCATGTATTCATTTATTTGCGTGTATATTTGGTTACTAAGGTCAGAGCTGTGTCATCTTGAAGGGTTCCAAGTGGGCATTTGGCTGTGCTCCCCCCGCCCACCTCCACTCCTGGACCACAACTTTTCTGCAACCCTATTAATAATAGACATGCACTTTGCTTTAGTTGAACTAAATATAGATTTGACTGAAACTTCATTGCAGGAGGCAGGGGGAAAAGTCAAGCCAGCTTGCTCTAATTGAGCTTCTTCAAGCTGGTGCCCTCCAGATGTTTTGGATTACCAGTATGGTAATCAGCTTGGGGAAGACTGTTTGAAAGGAAAAACAGCCATACTACTGATTCGTTAGTGTTATTTCAATTGCTTTGACCATTATATGTCCCCTCCTGGAGAGATCCAGAGGGTGGCAACACAAGAATGGGTCTGTTCTGTGATGGCTCCCCATGTGTGGAATGTTCTCCCCAAGGAAGCTCACCTGGTACCATCATTATGTATATTTAGGTGCCAGGCAAAAGCTTTCAACTATAACCAGGCCTTTGGCCTTTCAAGATCGATGGCTTTTTAGAAGGGAGTGAGATGTTTTTAATGCATTTCTTTTCCCCCTTGGATATTATTATTATTATTATTATTATTATTATTATTATTGATTAAATTAATGGTTTTATGTGGGGGTTTTTGGTCTGTCCGTTTGGTTGGCTTTAAGTCACATTGGGTTGCCCTGGGCAAGATAATGCAACTAACAACTTTAAAAAATGATGATCATCATCTTCATGGAGGAGAAGACTATCAATGGCTGTTAGTCACAGGGGTGTACCATGGTCCCAGGTGCCCAGTTTTGAGGGGTGTGGACCAGGGTGCCTTCACGCAGGTGTTGGTGCCCAGGCGCATTCTGGTAGGCCCTATCCCCAGCTCCCTGTCCTTCCCTGCCTGCCTGCCACCAGGGGTCTCTTTCCCAACACTATATAGAGATGCCAGGGATTGAACATGGAGCCTTGTGCATGCAAAGCAGAGCGCTGCATTGGGTTGGTCCACTGCAAAACAGAAGTACCTTAAGCAAACAAACTGCTCTGCTGCTGCTGTTGAGCTTGAATGCGGCTGGCAGAGCCTTTCAATAATTTCTCCATTTGTTCTGTTCCTTTGGCCGCCAGGCTTAGCCTCATTGCATTGCTTTGCTCTCCTCGTCCCCATACAACATACTGTTTTATTGCCATTACTTGCAGTGAAGGTGGATATGGACCATTGCACACGCTCCTCTGCAGCTGAGTTTTCCATACAATCTCTGTTTTTACCATCCTCCTGTGCCCCATAAACAGAAGGATAATGTTCCTGCCAGCTTAATCTGTGTAACTACAGCTATAATGGGATCCTGGGAGATAATCAATAAATCTCTAGGCAAGGTCTTGTTTTAAAATTTATTGCCATTATTTCTTTTATTATTATCATCAAGTGAATTCTGGTGCATCACCAAGAGTTGTTTGGCCGTCATGGAGATTGTCCTCCGCTCCCCCAGTTGACAGGCGGAGAAACATATCCATTGTGTTAAGCCAAGCCTTGTTCTTGCAGGGTGTTGGTAGACATGAAGGGGGAGTGGGATGAGAGCATGCCTGCCCTGCTCCCAAATGATTTTAGGTTTAGGAAGTGTCTTGCCCCCCCCCCCAAGAAACCACACATATGACAACCCTGGAGAGCCAACACACTGGGTGACCTTAGGCTAGTCACTGTATCTTAGCCTCACTTGTCTCCCAGGGCTATTGTGAGGATAAATTGGAGGGTGGGGAGAAGAAACACATACACCACCTTGAGCTCTTTGGAAGAATGTGGGGTTAAAAATTGAAAGAATAAATAAAATAAGTAATAACTTTATTAAAGCAGACAAATGTTAAAGACTCAGCAGCACGGGAAGAGCAAATGAAATCCAGGAGCTGCAAAGGATCATCAGCCTAATTTGGTGTAATGCAGATTCCTATGTATTTCCTTTCTTTGGGATTATTATTGCTGCTGTTGTTGTTGCTGCTTTTGTTATTTATTGAATTTCTATACCATCCTATACCTGGGGGTCTCAGGGCGGTTCACAGAATAAAACCAGGGCAGAAAACAACAAAGCAAGGCAAGGCAAGAAAAATAAAATGGAAAGCATTGAAAAACACGAAAAGTACCTTTCTTTTTTAAATTTAAATTTAAATTTAAACTTTGGCCTGCTCCATGACACCAGGCCCCTCACTTGAGATCAAACCCTGGGAATCACAGAATTGCAGAGTTGGACGGGACCACAAGTGTCATCTAGTCCAACCTTCTGCAGTGCAGGAATCATTTTGCCCAATGTGGGTTTCACAATCCTGAGATCAAGAGTTTCATGCTCTACTATCTGGGCTATGGAAAAAGTGGGGGTGACCATGGGCAACTCAGCCTGCTTAGGGGTATCTGCTTCCTAGCTTGGAAGATGACGCAACTGTTTACATTGAGCAGAGAGTATGTCACAAGCCGCCCTGGAGAGTTTCCGAGGGCCAGGCAGCAACACACTCATGTGGGGATGGTGTACTTCTCTTGGATTCCCTGCAGGTCCCATGAAAGAACAACATGGGGTGGGGTGACTGGAACCCAAGGAGATGCTTTGAGGCTTCCCCAAGAACTGCCTTGTCTGTCCCCCATGTAATCAGTACATTGAAAGGCAGGGTAGAAATGATTGATCTGGTAAAGGCTCTGCCCTGTAAGCTCAGAGTTACTTAGCTACAACGTTAGGCCACAGAGTGAATCACAGAAAACAGAAGCAAGGCTGTGCCATGCTTCTTACATTAACCAAGAGAAGCAACTCCCAGGAAGCCTAAGCAGATAAAACTAGTGCTAATACAAAGCATTATTTGGCACACAAGAGTGTTTTGCAAACACCCAGCAGGTTAGATTGCTGCAGCTGGCTCATCTGCTCAGATAAGTGTGCAAGTGGTCTAGATGTGTCAGGAGCAGGATGGGTGGTATCTGGGGACTCACAGAAGAGCACAGGATGCAGCAATGGCTGCCATCTTTCATTTTCCCTAGCACCAAACTGCTCACACATAGATCAGCGGGATGCAGTAGAATCTGAACAGGTTCATATTATCCAAATCCTTCCGATGAGAGAGGCAACCTAAAGGGTTCATTGATGGGAAGAGATAGATCTTTTGGATCATCACTTAGACTGCAATCCAAGGGACCAGTATAACCTGACATGGTGCCCTCCGTCAGACTCATGATACACCATCAGTCCCTTCTGACAGCATGGTGGTGTGTCCTGTTCTGGACCTTCAGAGGAGCCCACAGGGAGAGTGAACAACATGTTCCAGCAAAGGCTAGAGTTGGACTGAGGCCTTTGGGGCCTGTACCTCTGGTCCACCACTCCTAGGCTCAGCCTCCTCTTTGAGAACTACCACCGTTAAAGGACCAAGCCCCTGAACTGCCGATGAGCACGTCTTCTGTGCCCCCTGGCCTGGCACACTCCCTGGTGAGGTAAGTTGGCACTAGGTTCCTTGAGCCCAGGTGAAGCGGCCTGCCAGGGTCCTGACTCTAGCTCTATGGCTCCCAGTGCTCTGGAATCTTGCCATAAGAACAAAATGAGAGCCTGCTCTGGCTCCTTTGCCAATGATTCCACAGCCCAGAACTCTTGGTTGCTGCTAGACTCTGGGGTCATGGCAACTCTGTGACAGGAGTGCTGTCCAAAACATCCAGAGGGCACCAGGTTGGGTAAAGGGGCAGTGAGTCCCATTTAGCTCAGTGGGGTTGCTTCCAAGTAGACATGCCACAACTTTATGTGCACCCCTCTACTTCCTGGTGATCACAATCTAGTTCAGAGTTAGCGTGCTCCACCAGACAGATTCCAATGGGTTGAACTGTGCTTGAAGTTGTGTTGGAGGAGAGCCAGTGTTTGCAAGCAACTTCCCACGTGCAAATCCCTCATTGACTGTAGAGAAGTGGTTTGCCTTGCCCAGATGTGATCCGTGGAATTTGTGTGTGTAGGTGGAGGCCTCCTCAGTGGGGAAATACTAAGTTATTTCCACCAGACTGAAAACAATGGTTTAACTGCTGTTATGAAAAGAAGAAAAAAGAGAGAGGATTAAGCCACTGGAAAAGGACCCATGGTTCTGGCTTTCTTGTGAGAAAGAGGTGGCAAGGCAGCCATTTGGGGATGTTTACCTTCCTTCCTCTAGGGATCTCAGAATGCCACAACTGGAGAAGAGAAGAGGGCTGCATTTACGCAGCTTGACGAAGACGATTTGAAGAACCACACTGGAAGAGCTCTGCTGGTTCAACCAAGGGTCCATCTGGTTTACTATCCTTCCTGCAGTATGGATGGGGAATGCATTCAATTTAGGGCACATTTAAAAGCCAATTTATCAAATGCACACTTTCCGAAACAATGTGTGAATCAAAACACAACTCTCCTATGAAATTTGCGCTTATCTGAATTTTGTGATGCAATTCTCCAACTGAACAGTGTTTACAAAAATGCACATATTGGAGGAAATGTGCACTAAAATTAAGGTAGTAGCAAAAATAACATGCAGAAATGCAACACATTGGGGGAAATTGCTTGCAAGCATGGGCATATTAGTTAAAACTGAATAGAAGATGTGTTTGTTAAGAGAAATTTGCACTAAAATGCAGGTGAATTTTCATGAGGTTTAAAATACCTCCCCCCCCATAAATTTCAGATAACTGGAATTTAAGGTTTGAAAAATGAGAAACTGGGAGAACTAAAATGGACAGATCATTCCACCTTTACCCACAGTAGTGGCCAACCAGATACCTCAAAATGTGTCCAAGTAGAGCAGGAAGGACTTCACCCCTCTTGTTGTTTGTTTCTGGTGCCTGGTACTTGGAGGTATACTGTCAATGAACATGGCAGTTCTATTTAGTCTTCAAAGCTAATAGCTGTTAATAGGCAGCCATCTACCCTCTGATTTGTTGGCACAGGATAGCGTTCTATCCTGTGGCAGTGAATTCCATAATTATGTGCTTGATGAAAAGCAATCATGGAGATGAAGGCAACTCTAGCACTTTCCTCAGAGCAGGAGCAATGGTGTTACCTGCTGAGACACCAGGACCCTCTTTGCTCTGGTGAGTGAATGAGGTGCATTGCGAGCCTCTGCCCCCCAAGATCGTTTGGTTGGGGACTGCTCAGAAGTGACACATGAGCCCAGTGTGCCAGCCTTTGCCCAGGATTTTCCCCTTCTTTCCCTCCATGCAGCAGAAATGCTTCCAGTGCTTCCATTCCAGCTTGGCTCTCTTCCGGCATTGGAGTATGCGGAGGATGAAGTTTAGGTGAAAGATTGCCGGGGAGGGAAATGGAAGGATGCGGGGGAGGGTTCAGCATTCCTCACACTTTTTGGTCAGATCCTCCCCATCCCTTGCTAAGGGGCAATCTAATTCATGAACAAAACACGCCTGGTTTGGCCTTAATTGTTCTCTGCTCTCCAAAACTGTGGCTCCTCTTTGTGGACATTTTTATTCAAATAAATAAATAAGCACCCTGAAGGTGTGATCAAGGGATGAATAAAAAGCATTGACTTCTTATGGGAAATCTGAGAGGTGACATGACAACCATCTTCAAATATCTGAAGGGCCGTCTCGTGGATGATAGAGCAAGCTTGCTCTCTGCTGCTCCAGAGAGTAGGACCCAAACTGATGGATTCAAATGACATGGAAGGAGATTCTGACTAAACCTTAGGAAGAACTTTCTGAATATAAGATCTGTTTGACAGTGGAATGGACTCTCTTGAAAGGTGGTGGACCCTCCTTCGCTGGAGGTATTTAAGCAGAGGTTGGATGGTCACCTGTCAGGGATTCTTTAGCTGTGATTCCTGCATTGCAGGGGGTTGGACTAGACGACCCTCAGGGTCCTTACAACTCTACAATTCAATGATATTTTACCAAATGCCACATTACCCCCATGGCTCTCCTCTAGCTTCATTGCACAGGCCTGCCCCACACATTATAGCTGGAGGACACAGAGACCATGGCAGATCTTGTCCAGAAATCCAGAGAAAGATTTCTGAATATTTTTTGTCGGTTGAATTTGCAGTCCTGGTTTTTGTCATCTCTCTCTCTCTCTCTCTCTCTCTCTCTCTCTCTCTGAAGGTTGGGAAATATCTTGGCTCTCATCTTTCCTGTTATGATACATAACTGATCTGTGGTCAGAGCCCTCAAGTTCACAACCTGTTCTGTAAAAAAGAAAAGAAAAGGAGCAAAAGGAGCAAACTTTCCCCTTGCAACTTCTGCTGCAACATTATGTAAAAATCGCAAACCTCTTTTCCTGGGGAGGGGTTCTGGTTTGCGACGATTTCTGAAAAGAGGAAGCCATCGCTCTTTATCCTGGTTGACCCAAATGTGCAACGTTTCCTGTGGAGAGACCCACAGCAAAATCAAAGGAGGGCAGCTCTTTTCTGCGGTCGATTGCTTCCTATCACACATTCTATGGAGAAAGGAAGACAATGACCATTTATTATAAAACCAGCACCTTCTGAGGCTGCTTATCTGATGCATCAATTAAAAGAAAGAAGCCCGGGTAGTAAGACCACCCCCACCAGGGGTTATCTATCCTCCACATCTGCAAAGTTCCATAGCCGAAAGTGATGGCAGAAACAGTTTTAACATAATTAGCAAGACAAAAACGAATGAGAGAGGAGGCCGTGTAAGGAGGGGGCAGACAGCAGAGGAAATCTTAACTGTGCATGGCAGGAGGTCAAATCGAGCAAACCTAGAAGTCTCAACTTTGAGACAAACAGCTTGATCAGGGCTGGGCAATCTAAAATTAGACCCCAGTCAGCAACAGCATTCAGGGGAACAGGAATATCAGTCAGAGACTGTTACATAAACAAGCCACAAAATAGGTGCAGTCCCACATCTGACAGTGCCTGTTCAGTGACCACACGGTGTGTGTGTGTTTGGGGTGTGTGGGTGGGTGTGTATGACTGACAAGACCTATGTTAATGTGGCAATGATCACTGAAAGCTTTAAAATTTGAAAAGCAAAACAAAACTCCCAATTACTCTTGAGACAAATTATAGATAAAGGTATCATAGAACATTCATTATGGTCAACTTTTAATACAACTGGAGTAGAGAATATTACTTAATACGTTATATCAGCACTACATTGTAAATACGTGAATACAGGTCATAAGCAAAAAAGAAACAAGCTGTTATCTTCATATGTGATGCACTTATGTGAATAGAAATAGCCCCAAACAATAAAATATATTCTAAAAATGAAATAAAAGAAATAGCCAAAACAAGCAAACCCTAAAAAGCTCACTGTAGGATATCGTGGTAGGAGAGATATATGTTGGACTGATGATAGACAGTTCACTGATAAATAATGGTACAGCAATCAGTCATTTACGAGTCAATTCTCTGGTGCCCTGTTTAAAGCAATAAACTTTTTTGAGCCTTTTTGGACACAAAGTTCTCAATCAAATCACTGTAATCCAAACCTCTCCCAATTTTATGTTCAGCTGAAATCATGTCTAATCCTAGTACAGGCCCTTGCAACATAGAAGAGCACAGATAAAGCTTTATGAATTTCAGCTTTGAAAATGACCTCTCACCAGTTGCAACTATAACATGTGCAGTGAGAACAATGTGAAGTACTACACATAAATTGGGGTATTTACCTTAAATATTATACTCATAAATACATTGAAGGACTGTCAAAGCTGTGCATTTTTATTGAGCTTCATTCCTTAACTTGATGTCATCTTTGTTTGCTCAAAATGAGAAGGCAGTTAATTGCATGCAACCTCTACTTTTGGTACTCTGATTGCAACAATAAATATCAAATGCATGACAGAAATGCAGAAATAGCCTCTTCCCTAAAAATCCAGTGCTGCACATCCCAGTCAGAAGAAAATGGTGCAATTACATGCATTACTCAGAAGCAAGTCTTACTACATTCAGTAGGATTCACTCTCAAATGTGTCTAGAATTACAGTTTTCTTTGGGCATAGACGTTTGCATTGGTATGTGGCATTAAAAGCTCAAAAACCTTTGTGTCCAGATTTTCATTTTTTGAAATATGGCAACCCTACTGGAGGCTGGAGATCCAGCCTTCCCCCAGCCTTATTCTGTCCAACAACTGAATTGTCTTCCAGTGACATCTGCACCCACTTCTTCTTCAGCTTCTAGTCAGAGCCAGTGGAAAATGCTCCACTCTGCTGAGATTTCATTGTGAAACAAGAGCTTCTTTTCTGTTTTCCCTTCTTGCTAGAATGAAATGGCAGCCTCCTCCTCCTGATGCCTCGAATGAACAGGGCAGTTGGCCTTGTGCAGGAATGGGCCATAAGGGCAGCTCTTGGCCGAGGAACTGGCATACTAGCGATGTGCATGGGTCTGGCTTAAGGCGGAGGGGCAGGAGGAGGGCTTCTGCTTGTGTTTCTGTAGGGAAGGTTTGCTTGCCTGTTATGCTGCTGGGTTTAAAGGCAAGGCAGACTGAGACTGACTGATGATAAAGGAGGCAGGCAGGATTTTGTACCACTTTTGGAGCACCCAAAGTGTGGGAACCTGTGTGGTGGCTCAGTTTGCCCACCCCAAAAGCCACCCCTGCCTCTTGTGGAAGCAAATTCTATGGTTTAGCTATATGCACAGAGTCCCTCAAAATTTATTCTATCCTGTGTGTGTTTAGGATGGCGGCCTGTGTATAACATTATAGCGCTGAAAATAATATTTACCAAACTAGTGCCCTCCAGCTGTTTTGAAATAGAATCATAGATTCGTAGAGTTGGGAGGGAGCCAAGGGAATCTCAGCTGAAGCATCCATGACAGATGGCCATCCAACCTCTACTTTAAAAACTCCACTGTCGAACAGGCCCCATCAGTACAACTACCATCAGTTCCAGTCCACACAGCTATGTTGACTAGGGCAGAGGGAAGTTGTAGTGCAGAACATCTGGAGGCCACAGGTTGATGAAGAGTGCCGTAGAGTTGGTGGCAGCATCGGACGGTATTCCCCGCCTTGCCTGCTTCCTCTGCAATTATTCCTTATGTTCTTCCATGGAAACGCTTTTTTAGCTTCTTCTTTGCCTTGCTGATCTAAGACCATTTAATATATCAGTTGGAAATCCATCACGGTCATGCTGGCATTTATCCGTCTCAGAAGCAAATGGAGGGGTGTGCCTTTGGGGGTGAGGTCAAGCTGTTGGAAGGTTGCATCGCCTGCTGTGGCTGTAAGTAACATAAGAACATAAGAAGAGCCCTGCTGGATCAGGCCAGTGGCCCATCCAGTCCAACATCCTCCTCCTCTTCCTCCTTCTCCATGAATTTGTGTAATCCTCTTTTAAAACCATCCAAGTTGGTAACCATCATTGCCACCTGCAGGAGGGAGTTCCACATGGCCTCTCCTCCTCTCGGACGGGAGGTGTTGTGGGTGGGACGCGATTTCTGCATCACGCAGGGGGCATTTTGCCCCCTGCCCCACTCACCTGGCTGGTGCGCCACGCCCACAGGTAGGCACCCAACCGGGTGGCTTGGTGGAGGCGTGGTTTGCTGTTTAAGATACAGCCGCGCCAGCCATTCTGCCCATTTCTTCACCTTTTCACCGCGAATCACCCACCCACCACTCCCTTAGGGCTTAGGGCTTAGCTTTTCTCTTGACCTTGCTATGGACCTATGGTTGGTCGCCCAGGGGGCCTGGTAGGAATTTTTCCAACTGGCATTAGGCCTTTTGGTTTTTTCGCCTACCTCGTAGCAATCGTCACAACTTCCTTGGTATTTGGCGGTTAGGCACTGGAATGTGTTGTTGGTGTGTGGAAGGGCAAGGTGTGGCCATCACCTACCCCTTCAAATTTGGGTATTCTGTTAAAGGAATCTGGCGGTCGTGGATCCTGTCCGATGCCTGTGTGGCGGGGGGCCATGGCATGACCCTCGGTGACATCAGGGGAGAGCTTATAGTTGTATTAGCACCAACAGGCTCCCCCTACTGGTGAATAACCCCTCTTTAGGCTCACCCCTCTCCGAGTGGGTGGAGTCAATCTTCCATGGTCCAATGCCTAAGCCAATACCTTCTCACTTGCTGTAATCAATAAAGTTGTGGCCTTTTCTTGCCCATTAACCTTATACACTGTGTCCACGTGTTTTTATTCCTCAAAGCGGGGATCGGGTCCTCGAACCACAATTTAACTTTGTGCGGCATGCAGAAGTCTTTCTTTTATCTGTCCTGAATCTTCCAACATTCAGCTTCATGGGATGTCCACAAGTTCTAGTGTTATGAGAGAGGGAGGGAAAACTTTCCCCTAGCAACTTTCTGCACGCCATGCACCATTTTATAAACTAAAATGTGAGGTGTAGGTGACCTGATTGGAACCATCGCCTTCCTTGATGGAGAGAGGAAGACGCCCTGTTGCAATACCGAGTTATGTTTTGGAATAATCGTTATTGGGAGGAAACCAGCCTCTGCCGATCACTTTTCAATTAACAAAGGGTGCACAACAGGACAGGAAAATCTAACACCAAAGGAGTGCTCTGTATGTGCTCATCCTTGCACAGGGGAACCGTCAGGCTCAGCAAGTGCAGTCCAGCAAATCAAAGCTCCGCAGAGAAGGATAAGACTGAGTTTATGGTATCCTGGAGATGCCGGCACCTGGGCCTTGCATCACTCGCGGCCCAGCTCAGACAGCTGCTTTTGCTCGGCAGTCAATTAAGCAAAATTGTCAGGAGCAAACGAAGGATCTGCATCCTGGCAGCAGCGGCGTCCAAGTGCTTGTGGTGAAGAGCTGGCAGAGCAGGGGTGCAGGATGCTGTGGAAGGTACAATTATCCTTTCAGCCGGTGTCAATTAAAACCTGCACCTTCTCCACACATCTGTTTATGTTCCTAAGCCCCTGTCATCACTCTCTCGGCATAATAAGAATTTGGACACTGATCAAATCCCTCTTTCTCTGGAAGAATAAACACTGCTGCTCTTCTCGCTACCAACTCCCTAAGTAGAACGGTTTGTGATAAAGTGGAGCAGAGGGAGAGGTTATTCCTTCAAAATCAAAATTGAATTCTTTTTTTTAAGCAGACAAAACCGCAGGGTTTATGTGCATGTGTTTTGATGTTTTGTGCGTATTAAATTTTGATTTTGTGTATGATTTTTGGGTGGTTCTTCTCTCTTTTACATAATGTTCATTGTTTAGATATACAGTATTTTCCGTCTATAAGACGCCCCCATGTATAAGATGCTCTCTATTTTGGGGGACTCAGATTTAAGAAAATGGGAGGAGATGACCCAGAGTATAAGATGCCCCCTAATTTTTGACATTATTTTTTAGGGGGGAAACCTAGTCTTATACATGGAAAAATACGGTAGTTATATTACTTAATATTGGTATTGTTATTGGCCTTTATGGGCATATGTTTAAACAATAAAATCATACAAAGTCATCCAAATACATTGATAATCCAAACACATACAATATATAAAAGACTAGATAGCCACCATTGAATAAATCAGGCAACTTTAGCTTTAGCTTTAAAGATCTCGGCTAAATACCCTGAAACAATCTTGGTAGTTTCAGGAGTATCATCCCTCAACAAATATTGGATTGATAGAATCATATTATGATTGTACTTAATAGAATAATAGAATTGTAAATTGGAAGGATCCCCACTGGTCATTTAGTCCACCATACCCCTCAAATGATGAGGATTATTATGATTAGGAACATTTTGGTGGTAGTAGTACTGTTTGGTTTGAATGTAGAGTTGGTATTGTATTTTTATATGATTCCCTTTTTTTTGGAAATTGTAAACTGCTTAGAGATTTTTGTTGAAATGTGAAGTGGTATATAAATTAATGAAACAAATAAATTATAAATTAACAAACTAAATCTACTACATATTTTAGAAGTTACCTGTCTGTTTTCTATCCATTTGGACACCTCTTAAATTATCATAACTAACATGATGATTTCTGAGATCAGGGAGCAGATATTCATCTATGTTTGGCTACATGCAAACACCGATTTAAATGAAGATTTAGCAATATCAAAACCGAGCCTCTATCAAAACATACTGAGTTCAAGACTAATTTTTTTATATAAAAAAACCCCCACAGATTATTTGAACCATTTCAAACATGCCACAAGAAGTCATGGTAAGTTACAAATATTTGTGACTGTCAAACTGATAGTTTGGTTTGCTTTCCCTTCAGCGCTGTCTCAAGGCATATTGCTGGCTGGGGCAAGATGGTGTCCCTCCTGTTTCATGTTCAGGAGCTGACCAGGCTAAAGCTAGTGTGGTTGGAGTGATACATTATTGTTGTTGTTGTTGTTGTTTAGTCGTTTAGTTGTGTCCGACTCTTTGTGACCCCATGGACCAGAGCATGCCAGGCACTCCTGTCTTCCACTGCCTCCCGCAGTTTAGTCAAAACTTATGCTGGTAGCTTCGAGAACACTGTCCAACCATCTTGTCCTCTGTCGTCCCCTTCTCATTGTGCCCTCCATCTTTCCCAACATCAGGGTCTTTTCCAAGGAGTCTTCTCTTCTCATGAGGTGGCCAGAGTATTGGAGTCTCAGCTTCAGGATCTGTCCTTCCAGTGAGCACTCAGAGCTGATTTCCTTAAGAATGGATAGGTTTGATCTTCTTGCAGTCCATGGGACTCTCATGACTCTCAAGAGTGATACATTAGGATGTGGGAGATCAGAAATCCCTACTCAGCCATGAAGCTCACTGGCTGACCTTGGGCCAGTCACCATTATTTGCCTAACCTACCTCACAGGGTTATTATGAGAATAACATGGGGAAGGGGGAGCTGTGTATACCATTCTGAGCTCCTTGGAAAGGTGGGATATCATCATCATCATCAACAACAACAACAACAACAACAACAACAACATAATTTCAGCACTGGGGATGGGACAGCATTCTCCACAGCCACTGAGGATGGCCGGCTGGCTTACAAGATACAGTGCAGGCTGCGTGGCACACGCAGAGCTGTCCTCCATCACCTTTCTGCCACATCCTACCCTTCAGTATCAGTTGCCTGAGGAGGTGGCTGCACCCTGCCTAATGGTATGTCTTGGTCTGTTTCCATTGTAGAGAAATTCTGCTCCACTGAGGGCTTAGGTTACAGGGGTTCCTGCCCTCTCAGCCTAGTTGGGCCTGCTGGATGCAGAAGTTAATGCCTGGCAGCTCAGGGTGGAGCCGGATGGATGGAGTGGAGCAGAACAAATAGCAAATGCTCTCAAGCCAATGAGCAAATAGCCCACCCCTTTGATTCTGCCATCTCCCATAATTGGAGTTGGCAGACAGTCCTGAACTCTGTAGCCATTTCAGAGCCTCAGTACATGTCAGTTAAAGAGCATCAAACCACCTTCTCTCCTAAACTGGGCATATGTCTGTGTCACCTTTCAGCCAGAGGGAGTCTATAGCATCCAAGCTCTGCTGCTGTTGACACTTTGGTGATTGTTATTTTGGCCACTAGCACCATAACTTTGCTTTGCTAAAACTTGTTGCTGATACTGGTGTAAAATTCATTGGACTGGTGCTATTCAATGGTCTTTGTTGCAGGATTCTAATCAGCCATCTCTGTTTTTGTTGGAAGCTGCAGCAGTCAGTTCCCCGGGGGGGGGGGGAAACCCCCCCCCCAATATCCTAAGCCTGACATCTAAATTCTACCAGGACAGAACAGCCCCAACAATTGTAAAATTATCAGCACAAAGAATACATTCAACTTCCTTGGTGAAGTCTGGCAGTTCAGAGACACGTAAATTGGTCCAAAAACAATTATAGATCGAGACACTCTGCCAATTGTTATAAAATCCCTCAAACCTTGGAAGACATATTTTGCCATTAGCAATATTTTTGTGGAACAATGAGGATCTGAAAATTACAGAACATATTCTTGGAAGAAGAATGAGAGAGAGAGAGAGAGAGAGAGAGAGAGAGAGAGAGAGAGAGAGTCCTTTATTTTCAAGGGAAAGTACTGGAGTTAGTTTAACTTCGTAAAAATTCTCACATAGACACCATTAAAAAAGAAAAAGAAAAATGGCTGTAGGGAGAAAGGCAGGACCTAACAGGAAGCATAATTCCAACTGTTCTACCTACTGTCTTCTCAAAATAAGGAAGCTTCATTTGTGCCTGGTTCAAAAGAAATAAATCCATGAGTTAATTAAAGAAATAAAGGCATATTATAAGTAGGAGTGCCAGCTTGGCCCTGTGACTCTGGGTGCCTGGGGCTGTGGGTGCCATGCAGTGTGCATGGTCCTGGCACCAAAATTTGTGGGTGCCTGGCCCCTTCATGGGGAATTTTGTGGGTGCTTGTGCACCCAGTGACCCAGGGAGTTGGCACCTACGTAAGCAGTACAACTAAACAGGTTAGAAAATGCTATCTATATATTAAATTAAAATATATTATATTGCCAGTGTTGAAAAGTCACTAAAAGCTTGCTCCAGAATCATTGAGGAGCACATGCAGCAAAGCTAATCCCGGCTTCAGTTGTAACTCTTGTAGCAGAGTATTAACAGTATGCTAAGGATTGGCATCTAGCAGCAGCCACCAGTTGAGGAGAGACTCCAGGTTCTTTCAAGATTTGGCTCTCACTGTTTCCCATACAGTGAGCCTAGTGCTGCTTTGTTTGAGCAGCTTTTGCCAAATATTTTCAAACATGATGGCAAGCTAAGACAGAGTCTGCTACCCAATGATGCACATTTCCCTGAATTTGAGAAATGGGATCTCTTGGCAGAACACATGGAATTCAGCTTCCCTCTTTGCAGAGATTAATGGGGTGTGAAACTCAATTAATGCTTTGTTTTGTTTCTCATTCAAATTCGTTTTTGAAACCTTCACTCATTAGAAGGGCATTCATTTTGGCATGAGATTTTGTCCTTCTTGGTCGCTCCAATTCATTTTAATCCCCATTGATTTTAATAGGAGAGCCAGCTCCATTTCTGCTGCCCATATCGCCAACATTTTCAGTCCAATTGGCATGACATTTTATCACAATCATCTCAGGGGCAGCACCTGCAAAATTTCAGACAGGCAAGGAAAAGGGCACCTAAATTATAAGCAAGTGTCCTTTTGACACACAATTTGCTTAATCTAAACTATTAGGCAAGGCAGGGAAGTATCGTGTGAGCAGATCTGGATAATGCTCCAAAGCAGCAGAGGTTTCTAGTGGCACAGGAGCTGGCAGGCAGACAGTCCTGGGCGAGTTTTAAGCAGAAGACTTTGGCAAAGTAGAAGAGCAACCAGATGGATAGAAGATGATAAGATAGATAAGATAAGATAAGATAAGATGATAAGATAAGATAAGAAGATAAGGCAAACTTTATTCGCATTAGCCAACGGCCATAGCAACATAAAACAAGCAATATATACAAATAATATATATACAAATAAAAAAGATAGCAATGGGTAAAAAGGGCAATCAGATGCCCAAGAATATCGTTCAGATAGTGGCCCTTAATCTCACTGCACCCTCGATAAACCTAGCAACCTTTGCTGTTGTCTGATCATTTTGATCTGATAAAAGAAAGAACAATGTGGCCTCAGATGGGCGGCCTGGGATGGTAGGTAAGAGTGGGGTAATGATCTCATTCCTCAGAACTTTATAAAGGGGACAGGACAGGAGAACATGAGCCACTGTTTCCAGATCACCATCTCCACAGGGGCAGAGTCGTTTCTCAGTTGGAATCTTTTGGTATCTGCCCTCAAGTACGGCAGAGGGCATCACATCCAATCTGGCCAGTGTGAAGGCGCGTCTGTATTTTGGGATAGTTAATTTATACAGATATGGTGCCAGGGAATCAAACTGAGAAGGGGGGGGGGAAGGCATACCAAGGGCATAATTTCTTTATAATGGAAGATGGATAGAAGTTGAACTGGAAAAGAGGCTCACGCATATGTATGTGCTTGGGAGGGGACAAAGAGGCAGAGAGCTGGCCTTCTTACTGCAAAAGGGCCTATAAGAAAGGACCCACAAATCATACTGAGGATAGTGGAAAACTTCTCTCCTTCTCTCGTGACACTAGAGACATCTAGTGAAGCTGAATGTTGGAAGATGCAAACAAAAGACAGTAATGCTTCATGCAGCACATAGCTAAACTATGGAACTTGCTCCCTCAGCAGGCCACCAACTTAGATGGCTTTGAAGGTGGATTGGACAAATTCATGGAGGATATGGCTATCAATGGCTTAGCCACAGTGGCTTTGCTCCGCCTCCACTGTCAAGTGCTCTTGTGCTCTGCTCAGGTTCTGCTTGCACAGGCAACTGGCTGGCCACTGTGAGAACAGGATGGCATTGGCCTAATCCAACAGGCTCTTCTTATGTTCTCATGGGTTTCAGCCCCAAAGGTTTAGTCCTGGCTGCACCCTATTTCCTTCACACCAAGCTTTGGACCCATCAGTCCCAGAGCATCCTGGCATCTGGAAGAAGAGAGGAGGAAGTGGTTACTCAATTCCCTTGCAGAGCCAGGAGGCAGAGCAAACAGCTAAAATGCAAGCACCTCCTCTGGGGTTTCAGTAACCCAAGTTGTTTTAAATGTCTGTTGATTCTGTGCTCAAATAATGCAAACTATTCTGAATGGCATGTAAGCTATGAAAACAGGGGTTTAAATAACTTGGCAGGACGTTTGTGTGTGTGTGGCTTTCATGGGTTGGAGTAAAGTTTCACAACTGGTCAGGCCAGAATCATGTCCAATAGATACAGGCTGCTGGGCTGTTTGTTTATTTATTTTGGTAAAATAAAACAGGACAGGAGGTCGGTGAAAATTCCGTGGTTCAGCCATAAAGCCTAATCCACTCAAGTGAAGATGGAGTATTGCCAGCCACTAAGGCTCTCTTCCTCAGCCTGGTGCCCTTCAAATGTTTTGGACTACAACTCCCATCAGCCCCAGCTAGTGCATGCTGGCTGGGGCTGATGGGACTTGTAGTCCAAAACATCTGGAGGGCAGCAGGTTAGGGAAGACTGATGTGAAGTCTGAACGAGAAAACTGTAGCACAGCCAGTTGGCATAAGTAGCTTTTTGTGGAATTCTACAGTGGAGAAGGAAAAGCCACCGCAGGATCAATTCCATCCTTTTTCTCTTTGCTCAGTGGTTTCTGTGGGTGTAGCTTTCTCTGCTGGTGGCCGTGGCTGGATTTGCACCCCTCTCCTTCCTTGGCAGCTACTCCTGCCCACTCCCTGAAATGTCTTACATTGTTTCCCAGTTTTCAAGTAACTCAGATTGTACAGATCAGGAGCAGAGATTCAGTCCTCCTTCTGATACCTGAAATTCAAACTTTCCAGGTGTTAGCTGGTGCTTGCAAGGAAGTCCATGGCAGTGACATTTCTGTAGTCATCTTGGTCATACAAAGTTAATTATGTTTTATATCAGAGACCCAAAAGAAATAAAGAAGAACTTTCCCTACTGCAGTTTTGCAAATTGGGCTCCCTAAGATATGCATCTTTATACACATACTGATTCAGTTCTTTTGATTTGAGAACTGCTCCACAAAATCTGAAGACTTGTGAATTTTAAAGAATATCTGTGCATCATTTCATGCATTGTTTTGGTAAGCGCAAATTTGACTCTCATTTTAATGCAAACCAAACTGAAGCTATTAATTTCACATCTGCATGTGTTCATCCATATGTCTGTTGCATCCCATTTCTTCATGAATCTGTATCTTTAAAAAAAATGCCTGCGTGAACGTTTAGATTTAAGTACCTATTTAAATACATGTTTAGGAACATAAGAAATTGCCTTATTCCAAGAACTGTGTGAAAGGAAGTGTGGAAGCTGGTGCATAATTAAGTCCTGATGTACACATTAATCTAGGAAGTGCAGATCAGGTCAAGTTTGTACTGAAACTGCCAAAGATCAAATTCCTCAAACATCTGTAATCTAACCAAGCTCTCAGAGCTTCTTAATCCAGCCTAAAATACAAATGCTTACAGATCTTGCCAGCTAAGCTCTCCTTTTTATTCTTGCTCCCTCAGGATTATAGTGAGTTTTTTTGGTCAGCACATCCCCCCCCCCCCCGGCCCCCAATGACTTGGGTATTCAATGCAGAAACTTGTAACTGAGTTATTTGCTTTGCTGTTTGTAAGTATCTGTTCATTTCCAGGAGTTTAAACATCAGCTAAGATGTGCGTGTTTCTCTTTTTAAAAAATGCCCATAAAGAGTACTCCTTTCCCTGAAATTTGGCTAAGTTGTGATCCCCTTGTAGCATTGTTTGGATGAAATTGTTTGGATGGAAAACATCAAAGTTACAAGCAGAAGAAGGGTGTCAGGGATTCCAGTAAATTAATCAAAAATGAAAACAATTGGAAATGATGTCAACCTGTTAAATTTGCCAGAAATGTGATTCTAATGAAAAAAAATGACATTAGTCAATGTCAGGGATGCTGATGAGTGTGCACTGGGGAAGGGTAGCTGGGAGAGAGGGAGAGTGGTCTGTGGGAATCTGTATCAGCCAGGAGGCAAGAATCAGAGGCCAGGGAAGCTTCAGAGCTGGGGGAAGAGGAGGAAGAGGCAGGCCAGGGAAGTGAAGGGCGAGGTGTATCCCCACGCTTCCCTGCATCACTGTCTCCCAGAGTCAAGAGGGGAATGATACGGAAAGAGAATAAGCTTCTGCGCAGGCGTAGCCTCCAGTTACATGTGTGCTCCACATTTCTAAGCTCAGGTCCATGATTTCCAGGTCCAGGTCTGACAGCAGGATACATGCCTAACCCTCTTTGCAAAGGTTTTGCTTTCTGCATTTGCCATTGAGCAGGGCAGGGAGAGAGTGGGAATTATGGAAGCGGAAGGAGAACATGAGAGAGAGAAAGAGAGAGAGAGAGAGAGAGAGAGAGAGAGAGAGAGAGAGAGAGAGAGAAATGCAATTAATGATGATGATGATGATGATTAAAAACCCACAATCTCTATTCAAGTCACAGAGGAAATAACTGAATTACCTGACAAACCAATCACACCAGAGTTTCTCACTGAAATTCCTTTGTTTCAAAATGGCTACTTGAAGGACAGAGTGTCCTATGGGGTTGAAATATTCACTCCTAGTTTCTAAATACTGCCCTTTTTTGATGTCTGATTTGTGTCTGTTTATTCTTTTGTTTAGAGACTGGCTTTTTTGTTTTACCTGGAATGTGAAAAGGAGTATGCCCCCCCCCAATAATTAACCATTGCTGCATATGGCCTATGGGCCCAAAACACTAGGCCACCCCTGCTGCAAAGTACTGTATCCATACTGATATGATGGTGCTGCTGCTGATTTGCTGTTTCTGTCCTGTGGGGTAACAAACTCACAGAAAAACCACTCTGAAGGAAAACACAACTGCTCTTGGATTTCTGAACTGAGGGTGGGAGGGAACAGCCCGGACGAGGTCGTTGTGGGGATGGTTCAGTCGGCAACTTGATCAGAAAGGGCAAGGAAGGTTTACCTGTTGCTGACTTGCCAGACCTGAAAGGCATTACCGAGGAACCCGAAAGAAGCCACAATCTTCTGAAAAGTCTGCCACCTGGTGTCAGTTTGAGAGATACTGGAATTCAACAATGCCAATATCAAGTGGGTTTTTGGTGCCATTGGCAGGGTCTGTGCAAGCAAAGAAGCAAGCCTGGCAACTACCCAGGGTGCTACCATCCTCCAGAACACAACCGCAGAGCCACTGTGCAAAAAGCATCCCCACTTGCCAGGCAGTGACTCATGCTTCCTGCTCTTGGTAGTAATGCTACACTAAAGTGACACTGATGGCTCCTCTCTTTCTGCTCTGGCACACTCCCTTCAACTCCTGGCCTTGCCTGTGCTCACACTCTGACATATACTCGCCATCCCTGCTCAGGGGACAAAATAGAGAGCTAGCCATTATACAAAGCACAGCAGAAGCTTAATGGCAGGTGGGTTTTCAAAAACCCCAGCAAGTGTCAGAATGAGTGGCAAGCCCCAGGAAGTGTGCTATTTGGCTGAAGTGAAGCTGCCCTCCCCTTTGCCTGTGCTTTGAGGTGGGTGAGTGGAAGATGCCCTGTCCTGTTGGCAGTGAGAAGTGGGTGCATCTCTGTGTTACCTGGGCCACATTAGGATACTTGCATCTCCTCCCACGGAGTTCTGAATGCATTTTACAGCATGGTGTGGAACAAGGAAATCTAGGCCAGCCCTCACCAGTCTGGTGCCCTCACAGATCTATAGGAAGACAGAGGTGTAGAAAACTGCATTATACCAAATCAGACTATTGGCCCATCGAGCTCACTATTGCTGACACTGACTGGCAGTATTTCACATAGGAATCTTCTACATGCAAAACAAGGGCTATGCCACTAAACTACAAGGACCCTTCCCTACCAGCTGTCTGGGACTGGTGAGAGTTGAAGTCCAGAACATCTGGAAGGCACCAGGTTAGTGAAGGATAGCCCAGTGACTTAAGGTGCATTCAGACATGGGAAATATTGTGTTAGTTTTCTGATGATAATGTGAATGTCTTGTTTTCTAATGTTCCTTTCACACTGCTGCACCTGTTGCATTGTGGAGCTGTGGATTTCTGATAAACATACTGGCATGTTGCACTGAATTCTGTTCACACCAGTGGGGGTGTGAGCGTCACTGGATAACATTGCGACTTCCTCACCTTTTCTGTACATGCCTGTCTCTGTTCCCCCATGATTCCCCCGTGAAAATGGCAGAAAAGAACTGCATGCCATTCTACCACCCCAAATTTCATCACTTCACTCCCACAATTTTCTGGCCAATGGATTTTCTCCTGCAGTCAAATAACATGGGAATTAAGGCTAAACTTGCCCTATATTCCATTAATTTTCTAAAAGGGGATTTTACAATACGCAAAACACAGTATTGAACACAGCCTTTGCCTTTTCCAGTGTTGTGCTGTAACTTAGTACTTGTGCAGCAAGAGAAGTGATTTAAAGGGATTAACACTGTGCTGAGGGGAAGAGATTTCACACCTCTGCCCCAGCTTTGTGATGTTTCAGATCAACACTGAAGATATAATCCTCCCCCCCTTTTTTATTACTTTGCACTCATGCAAACCATGTCAGGAACTGCTCCTTCACTCTGCCCAAGTTCAAGTATACTGTTCATTTAATAGTTCTATTACTCTGAATTACATATTTCTTCTTCTGCTCCCAGGGTTGATAAAACAGGGCACCTGAAGGAAATCTGTTCCTCTTTGCTCAAAATGGGGAAGATCTTTATTAGGGATGCCAGTGGTTTTGTTTCTAAACACATCAAGGCTGCTGGATAACCTTAATTAAATACCACAGAAAATTGGGGGTGGCTTCTTGCATGTGGGGCTGACAGCATAATTACAAGGACAAAACTAAGCTCCTCTTAGGAGCGATTCCACTTTGTATGCAAATTCTCTGCTGCCGAACCTCATCAGAAATGTTCCCACCCAAAACAGTCTAAAGCACAGCAGTGGAAAGTCACTACGGCTCCAATCACACTAAGAAGGTGAAGACAGACGGGCTGGAGACTGACAACATAAACACAATTTTGATTTTAAGAGGAAGTCTGTTGTCTGCCTCACACCTGGATGACGGCTGCTTCAGACAGATCTATACCACTTAGAGAAACAAGCCATTCTCACAGTTATACTACACTCACTGGTGACAATGTCATGGCACCATGAACCACGTCCATGTAGCCCCAGCTCCAACTTTCCCTTTGTCAGGAACTCTCCAGGATCAGCTTTCTTTCTTTCTTTGTTTGAAGTTCTATGGTTCTCTCCAGGACTATAAGTCCCATCAGTCTCAGCCAACATGACCTTGAGAAACTTGCAGCAGAATCACAGCTGCATAAAGGCAGGCTCCATCTAGGCCTTTGAGTTCTTATGTGGAGGTTGCAGAGCATGGGCAGTGCTCCACATCACATAAGGCCCAAGGAAGCTCAAGCTGCAAGATATTATAGATACGGGAGCAGGATTTTCTCCCAACACAAATGGCAGCTTTGGGACAACAACTGGGGAGGAAAGGGTTAACACACACCCCAGTTGCAATCACAGTAAGTATCAAGCTCTCCCTCAGTGGCTTCTATTTGCATTCTTTTTTTTTAAAAAAAGCTCATGTTAAATACAATGGCTTTTGGATAGTGGATGAGATTGTTTTAGGATGCAAAACTTGATATGGATGCTTGAGATCCTCCTGCTCCTTTTGTTGAACTCCTGCAGCCGCTCAATGTGCTTCCCAAACTGAGGTTGCAAATCATCTATGAAGAAAAGGTATTGACCATGATAACTGACATTGACAGCCTCTGGATTACATGGGGAGAGGAGCTAGATAAACATGTATTGTTAAATTATGGAATTTTTGCACATAAGAGGCAATGATGACCAACTTGAATAGCCTTAAGAGGGGACTGGGCAAATTGTTGGAGGACAAAGCTACCCATGGTTACTAGCCGCTGCCAGAGGCAGTAATGTTTCTGAACACCAGTTGCTGGAAACCACAGGAGAGAGAATGCCCTTGTGCTTGGATCCACTTGTGGGCTTCCAAGAAGAGGCATCTGGTTGGCCACTGTGAGAACAGGAGACTGGATTAGATGAGCCACTGGTCTGATCCAGCAGACTCTTCTTATGTTCTTATGCCCTTATGTTATGTGCTTATGTACATGCTCCCTTGCGATGGAGAGTTTTACTTAGTGCTATTAAGCTAAGAAGGAGAGGCAGACTGCTGGAGTTAAGCCCCCACTCCCTGCAGGCCAGCTTCCCGATTCTGACCAAAGAGCAAGATTTTACCTTTTAAAGACTGGGTTCTCCAAGAGCAGATCCCTTGGCTTTTAGCCCATGGCTTCCAGTGCGGCTGGCAGAAGAACCCTTTGGAGGAGAACACGGTGTCCTCCTGCACCAATGCCTGGCACCTGTCTTGCAGAGAGTGCCCAAATAGGTCCTCACAAGGGCTTTAAAGTCCAGCCAATTGCTTCATAAAAATTTAATTGATGGGGTTAACATAACTTTTTTCTAACCCACTTCTGAAAAGTGCCAAGGCAGCGTGAGAAACCCAGGGGTTGGTTTGCGTTGCTCATGCACCTGGGCTCAGCCCTGGAACGTGGCTGGAATTATGGCATCACCGTGTACACCAGCACCAAACTCGGCTGGTGAGTGCCAATGAGAAGGCAGCTGAGACAGGGCAGGGTGTGGCAAGGGAGATATTGCCATGTTTGAGGAACTGCCAAGGTTTGCAGCAAAGCAAACAAATCTTTATGACCCCCCTCCCATACCCCTGAGAACCAGTCTGATGAGGTCCAGGGATACTCAGAGCCCACCTGGGATGGCTAAGAAAGTCAGTTCAGTATGCATTTCAAATGAATCTATTCCGTTCAGACTTTCTGAAACAATATGAGAACCAAAGCCCAGAATTTTTCAGAATTTGCACTTATCTGAAATTTGCAATGCGCTTCACCAACCAAGTGGTGCTTACAAAAATGCATATATTAGGGAGACGTGTGCATAAAAAGGAAGCTACTGATAAAAAAAATGAATGCAAAAACGCATTATATTGCTTGCAAAAATATGTCTTTTAGTCAAAACTGAATATACAAATGTGTTCGTTAGGAGAAATGTGTGCTAAAATGCAGATTAATTTTCATGAGTATTTTTTTTTAATTGCAAATTTCTGCAAAATGTGGGGAACTGAATTTAATATGAGGAAAATGAGAGACTGAAGGAGGAGTGAGACTGGCAGATCCTCCCATCCCCAGGGACAACAGAATGCTGAGTTTGGGTGGATGTGGAATGGGAGGGTTGGGGGAAAAGTATCCTGAAAGAATGTTTCATTGATTGGCTGGCTGGCTGGCTGGAACATTGATCCTTTGTACTCTTTACTGCAATATTTTGTTGCAGACTAGTTGCTTTCTAGACTAATAGTGAACTCTGATCATGGTACCATCCATGCAGAAAGAGGAGGTATCACCAGGCTTGGGGGAGCCTTGTAGATCTTGCCTGTTTTCACACAACACATCCTATGGAGTTCTATCCATTATATTTTATCTGCACAATCTGAATTTCAGCAAGCAAAAAAAAAAAGGTTTGAAAAACATGACTCTTGAGCCGTCCGGCCCCCAAAAGGCAACTAAGCATTCCATTTTCAGGAGCCATTTGGCACCTAGTTCATATAACTTGAGTTTCTAACACTGGCTGCACTGCTCTGGCTGGAGATCATGTGAACTGCTTGCTGGGCAAAACATATGGCAACTGCCAGCAAGTTGGCAAAAGCAGTTCTGGTCCCTCTTGTTTTTAGAAATCAAGTAGAGAAATCTTTATATGGATTTGCAAACCCAAAGGGGCTCTTCCTCTTCCTCTACAACACAACCTAAAGTGGTATTTTAGTTATTCCCATCTTCTGATGGGGTCATGGGATTTGTAACTCTGGGCACAACCAAAAGATCTCAGCAGCCTCGCCAAACTGCAGTTCCCAGCAGCTGGGCCAGAGAAGCCCAGATCTTTGCAGAGGAGCTGGTTTCCTCCTTGCCCTCTCCTCTAACCACCTCCTTAGCTGGGTTTCTTTTACAGGCGAATAATGTTTTAGCTAATGTGATCAGTTTGTTTGCAAGGCAGGCCTTCCTCAGTGCCTGGTAATTAAGGGATTATCATCATAACAGTGCTGGTGGAGATGTTGAGCCTTAGGATTTAAGCAGACCAAGCCCACTGATTTCTTTTCAGCTGTGCTCTCAATTAGTGCAATTCCACTCATGCTCTCTCTGTCACAAAGGAGGCTTTTGTCTCCCTGAAGCTTCTCGATACCTTAATCCTACTGCTTCCAGTAATGCAGGTTGTACTCCCCAGGTAATGCTACTACTGAGTGGGGAAGAGTGCAAGCATAAATATTGGCTTTTGGAGAAACCCATGTGGGGCAGTCACTCGGCAAAGAACAAATCAAGCAGCAACCAGGTTAGAGCACACTGCTGCTGCATATATGTTTCAATAATAAAAGAACAGCCCTGCTGGATTATAGCAAAGTCTCCCATAGCCCAAGTCCCTCTTCCCAGGGGCAGAGGAAGGGGGGGTGCAGTGGATGTGGTCCACCTAGCATATCACCACTGAGGGGGGTGACAAAATGCTGGGTGGCACTCACAGCAGGGCCAGCAGCATGCCTGAGCCATGCGTCTCTCCTGGGAGAGACGCGGTGGCTTGGGTGTGTGCAGGCTGTGCACTGCCCAAGTGGTCAGCCCACTGCCCCCCCAGCTGTAGAGCGGCTGAGTGGGAGGAGGCAGGCAGACTCTGGAGACCCCGCGCTGCGCCAAATCCCTATGGGCGGCTTGCCCCGCCCCTGGGCACACCGTCCCAGATGCCCGAGCGGCTTCCTCCGCCACTGCCTCTTCCCACCCCTGGTGAGCCAAATGCAAGAAGGGAATTCTCTTCCCTGATTTTGGTTCTCTAGCAGCAGGCATTCAGTGGTAGACTGCCTGGAGTGCCTTGGAGAAAATGGTGGGATATAAATGCAAGAAATCAATAAATCCATCATACAACTAAAAGCGCCTGTCAGGACAAACTACTAACATAGCAGTAAAAGTACAAGAATGAAACGAAGCACTTTGTAATATTCCAGAAGACAAGGAGGGTCCACCTTAGTGAGCACGGAAAGCAAGGTTTGTGTGGGGGTGTGCCTTCAAAAGGTAATTGAAAATTCTTCCCATATGGCAGGGCAAGGGTGGAAGCCAGTTAATCAAAAGTGCAAGAGTAGAGAATGCTCTTGTGCTCAGGTCCTGCTTGTGGGCTTCCCATGAGGGCATCTGGTTGGCCAATGTGAGAACAGGAAGCTGGACTAGGTGGGCCATTTCTTATGTTCTTATGGCAGCAAAACCACCGCAGGCCGGTTTAACAAGTCTGAATGTAAACAGTCACACCTCCGACTCAGGAACTTGCTGTGATGTTTTGCTGCTTCTTTGACAGGACCCTTCATGCATAATAAAAGATGTAACATCCACTTATTCTCTCCAGCAACACAGGCAGATGTTTTGAGTCAATGTGGCTTGTTCATCCACTTTTTACACTCCACAGGGTTGCCATCTTCTCAGGCGGGGCTCTGCTACCACTGGCCATTCTGCAGGATAAAGATAAATGCCAAAGGTCCAGCACTTCACCCTAACCCCATTGCCTATGTTAGGGATCTTAGCATCCACTGAATTTCTGCCTGTTGTTTGCTGTTTTTAAAGGCACATGAGCCCTGCCAGGAAAACAGAGGCTGCAGCCCTCTGCCAGTATCTATTTTGTAAACCTCTTGTTTTAGGCTGTGGGACGATGGCTGGCTCATTCGTTTTGCACTCATTTCCTGTTTCAAAGCCATCTGTGACTTTGAGATAAGATCTCTCAAGCTGGTGGACTTCCTCTTTAGGGCTCCAACATCTGGTTTCAAAATGGCCACCCAAGATCATAGCAGGAGCTGGCTTTGGGCGTGACCAGCGTAAGGACACAAGCCACAAAACACCCACTCAGAGATAGTAGCCACAATTTTATTTTTTCTTTTAATGTCACAGTTGCAATGTGGCTGAAAAGCAAGGGGATGGGAATGTGGGGGCAAAGGTCCACAGCAAGGAGCAAAACATTTGGGTTCAGTTCTGGTTCAGGTTCATCAGCATTTCTGACTGGTTCAGATACTTGACTGGTTTAAATGGACCTACTCTGAGCATGTCTTGGTTTTATACAACTGACTAGTTTTGAAAAATTACTCAGTAACTGGTTCAAGCACCGACCTGTTTCATAGAATCATAGAACCTTAGAGTTGGAAAGAAACTCAAGTGTCATCTAGTTCAACACCCTGCTGTGCAAGAATTGTGGCTAAAGAATCCCTGACAGGTGGTTTAAAAACCTCCAATGAAAGAAAATCCACCACCTTCTGAGAGAGACCGTTCCACTGTCCAACAGCTCTAACAGTCAGAAACTGATTCCTAATGCTTCGTTGGAATCTCCTTCCTTGTAATTTGAATCCATTGGTTCAGGTCCTACCCTTTGGATCAGAAAAAAGCAAACTTGTTCCAACTGGCATGGACTGATGCACTCTGAACAACTTCCAAGTTTTGACCCACCAAAATTGAAGGCAAACCCTGCGCCCGGCAGTGTATTTGTTTTGCCAATCCCAGGAAGGTAGCAAAAGTATAATGTTTCCTGCATGGCTGGTGGACTGCCTTTGCTGCCACTGTTTTGATTCAAACTGTCCCTCCATGGCTGCTATTACAGGCACATGGATGCTTCTTCCTTCCTGACCTGCATCTCTGTTGTCACATCAAGTATGGCCCTTATAGATGTCAAGTTCAGTTCAAATTCATAGGGGTGGGGGGAACAATATAATCTCCAAACAGATTTTTTTTTAGTTTTGATTCAAGTTCTGTTACCCGTTTTCTTCACCTTTGCAGGGCAGGCATACCTGAATCTTCTGGGCCTTTTACTGGCACTGAGATGGGGAAGGCTTCATCTGCTGAACAACCACCTGCCATGCAGGTGTTCGGGTCATGAGGGCCTTGTCAGAAAAAAGGCCAACTGAGCCAGGTTCCTACTCTCCAGATTATAATATGTTTTAGTGATTGGAAAGTATGGGATGAAGGGATTCAATTATCTGGAGTAAAATGTTATTTTGTGTGTGTGTGTGTATGTGTGTGTGTGTTATGCCTTAAAATACAATTCCATTGGGATGGCATTCTATAGGAAATGCCATTGGGATTCTTTTTATAGGAAAGAACTTGTAGGCTGTGAGAGATAACAGATGTTGAAATAGCATTGCTAACTTGTGAAAAGAAAAGAACAGTTCTGCTGTTTATATTTGTTTGTTTTTGGCCTTGGGGGAAGTTGCTAGAAATGATCTACATGGGGTTTCCTGCTATGTCATGAGTCAATGGTGGTTGTTCTTTGCAGCCCTCCATGGGTTGCAAGGAAGTTCAGGCAGGGAAAAAGGAGGATTTCTGAGGCAAAAATCCTTGCGATGCTCCTCAGTGGGATCTGGGGAGTTCACTGCATCCTGCAGTGTCATGCAATCTTGTGTCTGCCAACTTGAAAGGCAGAGCGGGAGCGACTTGGGAGTGTGTCCCTGCCATGGATAAGCCTCCATTACTGGCATGATTTGTGGATGGTTCCTCCTTAATTTGGACAATTGGCTTTAATCAAGAGGCTCTCCTGGACTGACATATGCTAATGGGCTGCAGTAAATCAGCTGCTGAAAGGAGGGTGCTTGGCTCTCTGAAGGCATTTGAATGTTTTTCTGAAGCTTGAGAATCTTTACAACAGTCAAGAAAGGAAGGGGGAGGTAAAGGTGCATTGTGCTTTCTTATGGTTTTCAAATGGTCTTTCCTTTTCTTGACCTTCCCTGCACAATGAAAGAGACATATGCAGCTGTAGCTACTCTGCCTGACACTTTGAAAAAGAGGGGAGAGGCTTTTGATTTATGATCAAGAATGAATTTAATAAGGTTTTGCTATGCCCCCCCCCCCCCGATTGAGGCTGAATGGATTTTATCAACAATCATTTCTGAGCAGGCGTGTTGTCACAGGTATACGGGGGGGGGCAGCGGGAGAGAATGATCTGCAGCTGAACAGATGTGGAAAAAAGGCTGAATTTGAGAAAAGATCAGATCTTGCTCTTAACTGTGTGCTGAGAAAGAACTCCAGAGAGGAATTTAATAGCATAAACCTGGAAGTGAACCCTGTGAGTTATTTATGGCTGCAGCTCTTTGCTAATCTGTAAACAGAGGAAGGAATGCAATGTGGCCTTGTACCATCCAGATAAACACTGCAAAGAACAGAACAATGGAAGATAGTAATGAACTCTCAGAACACCAGGTCTGGAACAAAATGTATGTGAAGGACTATACACGTGAACTGGATTTTATATTTATAAGACATAACAGAGGTGCTGTTTGTAAGGAGGAAAAAGTGGTCAGCTGGAAGAATGGTTTAATGGCAAGTGATGGATGACAACTGGACACTAAATAAGAAATGATGAGGCTGTGGGGTGAAATGATGGACATATGTTTGCAACAGGAGCGGGAAAACTGATTCTAATAAATTGTATTAAATTAAAGTAATTCTGTATATTTTTTTAAAAAAGAATGAAAGAAATTATTTACATGGAAAATGAAGAGCCCCCAAAATACAAAAGCATCTCAATCGCACTAATGCAAAAAACAAAAACAAAAAACGACATGGAAATTTAATCAGCACATACAATAGTCCCTTGTCTACGTAATGGCTTTGACTGATTAGCTAAGCACTACAATTAGCATAACCAAAGAAGGTGCTCTACGCCCTAGAACAAATGGGTGGTCCTTCCTGCACCCTCATGTTGCTGTTAGTTAAGAGAGCAAAAGCCAGAGAGTTGTGTGTAAGCAGGGCGAGAAATAGGCTGGAAGCTGGAGACACAGAGACATGCTTGCTCTGTGAAGGATCCAAATATCTTATTAATGGAGAATCAAGGTCTTTGGGGGTGTGGATGCTGTCAGCCCCTCCCTCCTATTCTCAGGTTGTGTATATGTGTAAATAAAATCATATATCCTCCACTAATCACAGACTCTTCATTCCGAGGAAACTGAGCCTGGAACTGAAACTGAGCCTGGAACCCCAGAGTCTCTCACCACTTGGAGATGTTGGTTGTGTATAACACAAATAAACCAGGAATATGTGAAATATTCAAATGAATCCTGGATCAAGAACCAAAAGTGTTTCTTGTCCAAGCCAAAGCAGAATCTCCCTAACGCACCCTCGTCCAAAACAGAAGTGCTTCAGAGCACTTAAGAAATAGAAGACGTTGGGAAAATACTACAGACAGGTTCCTGCAAAACCTGGAAACTCCCAAGCTTGGAAAATGTCAGAGTGGGGAGAGAGGTGGGGAGATTTTATGTAGTTGACAGGTCTAGCATCTGAGCAAAGGGATTGGCTTTAGCAGGACTTCCTAGCCACAGTGCCTTGGAAACAGGATGTTGAAGCAATGATGTTGCCTTGTTCTTATCTGTCTTGTGCCCTTTGCTTGATCATCTCATGGTGCTCTTGCTTGGGAAGTGCTGGACATTCAAGGCCTTTTGCCTCTGGGCCACCTGCTCACGCATCCACTCCCATCAAATCAACTATGCACTTGGTTTCTCTGACATTTTGTGTCAACTGAGCAGAGCTCAAGCCTGAGGCAGCTTTTAAAAATCATAACTCCCTTATCTCTGCCCCCATCCTCTAAAATGTTGCTGATTACTTTCCTAGGAGCACCTCTATGATATATGACTCTTCGTAAAAATTCTCACATAGACACCATTAAAAAAGAAAAAGAAAAATGGCTGTAGGGAGAAAGGCAGGACTTAACAGGAAGCATAATTCCAACTGTTCTACCTACTGTCTTCTCAAAATAAGGAGAGAGTGTTTTGGGTATGGTGGTTCTGTGGAAGTACCAGTAATGATTGTAGGTTTCAACCACACTGTATTGTTTACAGAGCATTTAAGTATTCCAAAAGGCAATGTTTAGAGCTTAATTTATGACCCAAGTTCTTGTTCTGCTTGCCAGATAATTTAAGGCTTAGGCAAAATTCCCCTCACTTTCCTGAAAATATCCCTCCCCTGATATAATCTCAGAGCCTCTGTCTATAATCTTTGAGAACTCTCAGAGAACAGGTGAGGTCCCTAAAGACTGGAGGTGGGCACATGTTGTCCCCATCTTCAAAAGGGGGGGAGAAGACCCAGGTAACTACTGACTGGTGAGCTTGACGTCAATAACAGAAAAGGTCCTAGTACGCAAAACTAAATAGTCATTCTGAGAGTACTTTGAAAAGGATGCTGTGATTACCAGCATGGGTTTCTCAAAAACAAGTCATGCCAGAAGAATCTCATTTTTTAAATATAGTTACAAGCTCGGTGGATCAGGGGAATATTGTGGACATAGTGTATTTTGATTTCAGTATGGCTTTTGACAAAATTCCTCATGATAGTATTGCTGAGAAGCTGGTAAAATGTGGGCTGGACAAGGTAACTATTAGGTGGATTTTTAGCTGGTTGACTGACCAAACCCAAAGAGTGATAACTAATGGTTCCTCCTCATTCTGGAACAAAGTGGTAAGTGGGGTGCCTCAGGGCTCCCTCCTTGGCCAGTGATTGTTCAACATCTTTATAAATGTTTTAGATGAAGGAATTGAAGGGATGCTCATCCAATCTGCAGTTGACACCAAACTGGGAGGGGTAGCTAATGCTGCAGAAGACAGAATTGGAATTCAAGAAGACTTTAACAGATTGGAGAATGGGCCAAAATCAACAAAATGGATTTTTCTAGGGGCAAATGTAAGGTTCTACAGTTAGCCAGGAAGAGCCAGCTGTGCAAATATAAGATAAGGGACCTAATATTATTATTAAGTTTCCATTTTATAACAATTATGACACATTCTTATTATCCACTTTATACTTTTGCTCTTATGAGCTTGTCGACTTCCCTCCCTCCTGCCTTTTGGTTTTCAACATTAATATTATACATCATAGCATTTGTATATTTTCCAATTTATGTTTCACTAAATAAAAAATCCCAACTTATAAATAAATATAAAAAGGTAATAACAATTGTCATTACAAGTCTTCTTACAACCCTGCTAGAGTTCTTAGTTGTTTACAATGATCCTTCAAATATTGTATAAATTTACTCCAGTCTTTTTGGAACGCTTGATCATTTAAATTGAGAATGTGGAGCATGTGCAGAGGAGGGTGACCAAGAGGCTCAAGGGTCTGGAAACCAAGCCTTATGAGGGACAGTTGAAGAAGTTGGGTATGCTTAGCCTGGAAAAGAAGAAACTGAGAGGAGATAGGATAAAGATCTTCAAATACCCAAAGGGCTGTTACACAGAAGATGGAGCAAGCTTGTTTTTTCCTGCTCTGGAGGGCAGGACTCAAACCACTGGATTCAAGTTACAAGAAAAGGGGTTCTGACTAAACATCAGGAAGAACTTTCTGACGGCAAGAGCTGTTCAACAGTGGAATGGACTCCCTCAGAAGGTGTTGAACTCTCCTTCATTTGAAGTTTTTAAGCAGAAGTTGGATGCCCATCTGTCATGGATGCTTTAGTTGAGATTACTGCGTTGCAGGAAGTTAAACTAGATGACCCTTGGGGTCCTTTTCAGCTCTGCAGTTCTATGATTCTATTCTATGTATGTGAATATCATGTGCTACTAATGTTACTGCATTTGAACTTCCATTTGGATTTTGTTTTTTTCATTTTAAATTATTTTGTTTTCATCACCACATGTTCATATTATTACTGTGGATCTGGCATTCAGAAATAATGACAACAGCTAAACACTGTTGTACAGGTCACATCTATGTGCCCAAAGGGGTTCTGATTGCAAACAGAGTATCCACTCAGACATTAACTGGGGCTGAAACTTTTAAGTGGCTAGTAGGTGAAAGGTGAAATTATTGGGTGTTTTCAGAAAGGTTCCCCCAAAGGTTAAGAGAAAACAGAGTCGGCTTGACATGGTAGGTCAGAATGTCGGCGTCTGGGCTAGGACATTCTTCCATTGTTTGGAGACACTGGTTTTGTGCAGCTGGAACATATCCCCAGAGGCTGTGGTCCAGTGTCGTGGCTCGTGGTGAAGGCTGAGCTGTAGGAACAATGGGACTTTTATGAGAAAGTTTGAGCACACTCAGCTAATGTGGGTCTCAAGGGATTATGGGAAGCGTAGTTCCTGAGTTCGAGAAGTCTGGGACATTTTGCACACTCCTCCCTCTCAGGATTTGGGGGTATTCTAGAGTATGCTTGGTATGTGAGTTGCTCAACATGTTTGAAGCTGGGCTTTGTAACTGAGTCTCTGCTGGGTGAACATTTGTTTGCCAAGGTAGCTGATAGTATGTGGGGGGCAGAAGGGGAATGGGTCACGGTCACAGGAATGACAAAGGGGAAACTTTGCAAGAAGAGTTTAAAAACAACAATAACAACATTTTATTAGTTTTCTAATGACAGTAACATTAACAAAAATAAATAGGGCAGTTATGTTACAATGCAATTTAGACATCCCAGTAGGTTTCACTGTGATATATGTAACTTATGTCAGTTGTGTCCAGTCTAATCCAGTGTATCCTACCACAGCTAACTGAGCAATGGTTTTGTGCAGCTGGAACATATCCCCAGAGCCTGTGGTCCAGTGTCGTGGCTCGTCCAGCCTTGTTCCTTTTGTGAAATAGAGGCAAGTAAAGAAGCCTTCTCTTCCTGAAAAGTGTCTTTGTGCTTTAATTTGGTTTGTTAGTTTCTCCATCAACTACACTGTCCATATTTGTCTGCACCAATCCTCTCCCAGGGTGTAATCCACTATAGTGATGCTTATTCTAGCCACCACAAAGAAGATCTTTGTGTAAGATGAGATTTAAGGAGGAACATGATGGTGGTGTTTTGAGAGCTCATGTACATTCAAATCCCAAATCCCAAATGACATATATTTGAGCTGTTTCTGTTTACCAGGACAGTCACACTTTACGTAACATAAGACGAGCCTGCTAGGTCAGATCAACAACCCACTTAGTCCAGCATCCTCTTCTCACAGCGGCCAACCAAATGCCTATGGGAGACCTGCAAGCAGGACACAGACACAAGAGCATGCTCTCCTGCTGTGGTTTCTAGAAAGTGGTATTCAGAAGCATTGCTGCCTCCAACTGTGGCGGCACAGCACAGCTATCATGGCAACTAACCATGGATAGTCCTCAACTCCATCAAATTGTCTAATCATCTTTTAAAGCCATCTGGGTGGGTGGCCATCTCTGCCTCCTGTGGAAGTGAGTTCCATAGTTTAACTATGTGCTGCATGAAGAAATCATTTCTTTTCTGTGTTCTGAATCTTCCAGCCTTCAGCTTCTTTCAGATAGTGGTGATAGTGTGGGTGACTTCAGAAATGCAGTTCCTGAGAACCCTTTTATTTGCTATCCTGGGTTGCTTTCTGACAATCAGTTTATTCAACATGCATTCTGATTTGTTTGCACAAAGTCTGATGGAGGTTTAGGCCCAGTAGCCCCTAACCCATTCCTCCCCTGCCCCCGAAATGCCTCATTTTTGTGGTTTTTGCTGGGCGCTGTGGGTTAAACCACAGAGCCTAGGACTTGCCGATCAGAAGGTCGGCAGTTCGAATCCCTGCGACAGGGTGAGCTCCCGTTGCTCAGTCCCTGCTCCTGCCAACCTAGCAGTTCGAAAGCACATCAAGGTGCAAGTAGATAAATAGGTACCACTCTGGCGGGAAGGTAAACAGTGTTTCCGTGTGCTGCTCTGGTTCGCCAGAAGCAGCTTAGTCATGCTAGCCACATGACCCGGAAGCTGTACAACGGCTCCCTCGGCCAGTAAAGTGAGATGAGCGCCACAACCCCAGAGTCGGTCATGACTGGACCTAATGGTCAGGGGTCCCTTTACCTTTTTACAAGAGGAATAGACTAGCTCATCAGCAAGCCAAGGGATTCAAACCCCAATCCTTTTTTAAAAAAAAAAAGGTACCAAGGGTATTTTGTGTGGCATTCTGGCTTCCCTCTGTCTGTGGCCCCTCCCTTCATTTACATTCCTTCATGGACTGAGCACTTGCACCAGGTTTGGGGAAATGAACAATGCCCCTTGAACGCAAAGTTTCTCTCTGAGAAGCAGACATGACCCCTTAACAACAGCAATGTAAACAGAACCCAGTCCAAGGCAAAGATCTCTGATATACATCGAGGCTGTTACCACAACAATTGTATTTACTCACTTTCCCAATAAATCCTTAACACAGGAGCAAGTACAAGCTTGACTAGCTAAACAAACCTTAAGATTATTTGCAGACCTGCATGTGGAGAATACACATAAAGGGGCCAAACATCTTCCCAACAGTTGGGTACTGACCACAGCAGTCTTGACCTCCTGTGTTTCCTGAACTTGCTATGTCATTGTCATTGGTTGCAAAGCATGTGCCTGCTAAGTGAGTTGTCTGGCTGTTGGAGAAGATTAAGAGCAGGACAACTGTGGCTGGGCCAGCAAACATCAGTGACCACATTGGGTCAGCTAAAAATCCCAGTTGGTGACACATACTCACAAGACTGCTGCCTTCAGATGACAGGGCCTGTCATGTATCAAATGAAGTTAATCTGCTTTTCGTGTTGCATTTTAATGCTGTAATCCTCCCTGGGGTGAAGGGTGGGTTATAGATAGATACAGGCAGTGACTGATTTATGCACATCCGATTGACATACAACTGCATATGTGCGCATCACAGCGATCTGGAAGTGGCTGGAAAGGGGAGCAGAAAGCAAGTGCTCTGCATCTTCCTTTAAGATATGTGCTATGACCTTTCTTTTTTAAAGGATGTAGCCTGGGGCCTTCAAATGCATTATAAGGCCCTCTTGTTAACCAGCTGAATTATTTTTTTCTTTATTTTATGTTGGGTCAAAATGCAGATCAGTGACTAGTGAAATATTACTACTACTAGCTTTTTTGGCATGTTAAAACAGTCATAAAATCATAAAATCATACAAAGTCATCCAAATACACTGATAATCCAAACACATTCAATATATAAAAGACTAGATAGCCACCAGTGACTAAATCAGGCAACTTTAGATTTAGCTTTTATTTTATTTTGACAAAGTAATAATCATAAATAAATAGGAATAAAGATGTGCACCCCACCATCGAGACCATTCCATTGTAACTATCCAGCCTCCCAAAATTTCAACACCTCTAGCGATGGTTTGACCCCAGTCCATTTAAAATAACTACATTATGGACAATACAAAATTCCATAAGTTTTAACCCCACTCTGTTAGTTAATCTATCCTTAGAGGAGTGGGGAACAGACAGCGGGGTAGGTATTATATCTATTCCTTCAAAGCCCAATTGGGATACAATATTTTGGCTGTTGGCCCCAATCCACACATTTAAATTGCCTGTAGTAATAAATTGGGCAGATGGAAGTGTTTTGGATAGAGAGAACATAACATCTGACAACTTGTGCCAATTAGCAGTTGGAATGAAATATTGTAAATGACCATCTATTATTGTTTCCATTGATGTTTTGTTAATTTTACTTCAATTTTGTATGAAAAGTAGGTTGTGCATCGAGGTCCCCCAGGCCACCCCAAATAACTCACACTTCGCACATCAATATTTGTTTAAGGTTTTTGGCATGAATTTGGCCACAACTTTATTTAAATACACACACGTGAGTGGTTCTTAGGCATTGGTTACGACTATCTGTCCTTGCCCCTGGGACAGAACTGACTTCTGGATTCCAGCGGAAGCCAGTGAGGGAAACAATGTTGGGGAGAAAATGAAGCTGGGCCTCAGTCCCTCACCCTCATGCTCCTGGTGGCTTGCACGGCCCAAGTCCGATGCCAGGGACAAGGACGAAAAGAATGGCAAGCCCCTGGATTCCTTTAACGGAATTCCCTTTCCGCACCACCATTGGAGGGGTAGGCACTTAACTCTCCACCAACCAATTTGAACCAATGCCTAACCGCCAACCTTACAAGTTGTGACGATTTGCTATGCAGTAGGCAAAAACCAAATGGCAACAGCCAATCAGCCAAATGGACAAAATTCCTACCAGGCTCCTGCCCCAAGGCAGATGACCCCATGACAGGCATAGCAAGGTCAGAGGACAACGAACCCCCCCTTTTCAGGGAGGGTGGGCGGGTGATCCGGTGCACGCAGCCCAAGAGAAGGCCCCAGGCTGTGAGCCCTGTATTTAAGACCTCTGACCCCTCCCACCATTTAGCAACATAACATTCTCCCCAGCAACACTCTTTGCCCAATCACAGTAAGTGGCCAATTTGCCCAACAACAGTGGGGTGGCCTTTAGGCCCCCACCGCAACACGTGCTCTCTGTTATGGAGAACACGCTTTGTCAAATACCACCAGTTATTCCATATAGCCAAGACTGCACTTGTACAAGAGGCAGCCTTTGCAAATTGGATTATGGGGTCACGTGATAGCAAATGCAGAGGCAGAGCATAGCCATCGTGGCTAGGAGCCGTTGATAGCCTTGTCCTCCATGAATCTGTCTAATCCTCTTTTAAAGCCATCCAAGTTGGCGGCCATCACTGCCTCCTGTGGGAGTGAGTTCCACAGCTTAACTATGTGCTTTCTAACAAATGCAGGGCATATTTTACTCCCTTGGCCAGCAAGTACTTTAACTGGAACGGCACTAGGCAAAGCTGGGTAACTGAAGCTAACGGAGGCTTTCCATGTGGCTCCAGTGGAATGTGAAGCCCTGTCCAACTTCCAGCCTTCTTTGTAATTCCACCAACCACACAGGTAAAGTAGATTTGGATTGGGTTGCAGCAGTCAGAAGAGACACTCCACATTCCTTATCCTTTATGAGCCCAACATTTTCCTTCCGCAAAGTTTTTCCAAGTTAGGCCTTTATTTTTTAAAACAACCTGGAGGGGGGGGGAATCCTGTTTCGTAGGTACTCCAATTAACTCTCCCAGAAATTGCATGGTTTATCAAAACTGGATATCTTAAAGAGCCACTTTCAGCAATATAACAAGGAGTGCCTTATGAAGGGAGAGAGGACTGTGAAAACCCCCCACAAAGCTTTCCCTCTCCACAAAGACTGACTCTTTGTTTATTTCTTTAGTGTGGGTGGCAGCTTGCCCAAGTAAACACAATGCTACATAAACACAAGAGATTGGTATTTATGATATTACATCAACATCCTGCAAATGGGGATTAATTGTTGTGGCTAATAATACCCAGCAGCAGGAGAGAGGGAGCCATGTTGTGTTACCTCGAGTGAAAAATAAAAATAAAATTTCAATAAAGTTTTAAAAATAAAGTTCAGAGCTGAGGTGTGGCCTAAAACAGTGAGACCACCATTTCTCACTACAAATGCCACAGAAGTGCCTTGGAGATAACATGAGCTCCCAAGTCATCTGGCCCAAATTGCTAGGGAGACCTCCTTGGAGGAAAGGGCTTTGGTCCCTGCAGAGAAGTCCAGTCCAGGGGGACTTACAGGAGGCCAAAGGCAGCTGGAACAAAAGCCCACTTGGGGGGTTCTTTGCCTGGTCCCCACAAGAACCTTTTTGACTCCATCTTGATCCCTGCCTTGATCCCTTAGTCTTCCCCATTGTCCATGTAAGTCTCAAGAGTGGCAGCAGCAATGAACCTGGCACGAAACCTGGAGCACCCATGTGGCTGCCAAGTGACTCTCTCCAGGATGGAGAAGACCAAGCTGCACATAGTTATACAGAAGAGAGAAGGCAGGGCAAGAACTGGCTGTTGTTGCCTAAGTCTCCCAGACACCTCTGGACCTTTCCTGAGTTAAGAGTTCCCTCTGGAGCTCAGTAACCAGCAGTTCTTTTGCTCCATTTCTTCCTGGCTCAGCTCCTACTCCATGTATAGCTCTGGCGTACCCACCAGGTCAAGGGCCACAAACACCAGAATTTTTCCTGTGCAACCTTCATTCATAAAACTCTGCTTAAACAGCTCTGCCCCCAAATGGATTTAGGACCAGGTGTGAGGCCGGTGGCCCCTGGGTGGCCCCAGTTCAGGAGGACTGCACACAGCCCTACTTTTAGCTCAGTCACTTAGCTATTTTACAGAGGAGAGTCCTGTGAAGGAGTTCTCTGAAGGGCTGTTGGGTCCAAGTCCAAAGATAAATGCCCCAAAAATAAGAGCAGGTGGGGTGCAGGGGCTTGAAGTTGCCCAAGAGCAGCACCTGAACAGTGGACCAAGCAGGCAGACAGGTCACAGTGAGATGGTATTGTGTTTTTATTCAAACTGTAGTATTTCTAAATTTGCATCTCTATGTATGCTCTATGTAATGTCATGCAGATCTGCACCTTTATTCTGCCCTCTCTCTTGTTCCTATATCTCCTTCCTTTGGGGGGGGGGAATGCAATGTGGGAGATACCAGGGGAGTTCTTCGTGATGAGACTGCATGTGTATAGAGGGGGTGTTATTTTGAATCCTCCCCACCAGAAAAATCTTGCAAGCAGAAAGCTAGTTGGAAAACTAGAGCAAGAAGGTTCTGGACCATACCTAAGTGATTTTTCACTTAGAGGTTCTTTTTTGTTTGTGTTTTGTTTTTGCACTAAAATGTAAGGTTCTTCTCAACTTCAGTCTGAAGCTGCACGTTCTACCACAAAGGACTCTTCCACTTTGTTCTACTGCATTAGGAGGCTAGTACTCAGTTTTAGCTCCAGTGCAGTGCTCTGGAACTCAGGGGAAAAGTTACAAGTTATGCCAGAGTTTGGAAAGCTATGTAAGACACAATTTATTCAGCTCATCCAAACTGTTGGTTATATATCATGCAGTAGGGAGGTGCAGGGGCTATTGGTGACGTCTGTGCTGGATGGATTACGTTTTTAATTTGTGGGAGGTGACTCTGGAACAGGCGTCGCTGGAATAAGATTAAAAGTGCTAACAATCCATGCCGAGGAGTGATGTGTAGCCAAGGAAACTTGTCTTTCTTCTTACACACACAGACAATAATCTTGTAGTACCTTAAAGATGTCCACTTTGTCTTCATAGGTCAGAGAGCCACTTGAGATGTGTCTCAGAACTGTAGTTGCAAAGGTGGCCTACGTAGTTCTCTTCCCCATTTTATCCTTGCAACAGTCCTGTGACTGTTGGGCTGAGAGTGAGTGACTGCCATAGGGTCACCCAGGGACTTTCGTGGCTGAGTGAAGATTTGGTCTCGCCCAGGTCCTAATCCAGCACTCTGACCACTGCACCACACTGGCTCCCCACCCATAGTCCTTCGTTACAAAACAGAGAGTTAATCCATTGGAATATTCCATAAAGTTGACAGAAAGGAGAGTCAACCTGATCTAGCTTTAATTCTTCAAAGCCATCCAATATTGATCTTTGTCAGATCAGAGTCTGGTGAGGAACTCGTCATCATCTGATGACACACAAAGGCAGATATATTTTTAATTAATGCTTATGTAAGCAAGCTAGCTTCAGATTATGACTAAACAAGGAGCCCTTTCTAATCAACTGGATTTGACTCCAAACAGTCTCACTGAAGTATTCTTACAAAGTTCATATTAATAAAGCCCAACAGTTGGGAGGCCTAGATATTGCATTGCAACATGCCTTGCCTCTTTCCTCCCTTGAAAAATAATGAGCACAGAGGTCAAGCTGGTGTTTGAATTCCATATTATGAACTATATCACAAAACTGAGGCAAATTGAGGCAAATTGGCAAAAGCGCAATTCCCCCTGCAAACCTGCATGTTGTTATACTTTCACCTAATACCTTGTTTGTTTCTCTTTAACCAAGTGCCCTAAAATATATTCCAAAGATACATACGTTGAATACAACAGATACTTCTTTTCCATTCTAACTGCCCCCTGGATATTTGCATGGCAGCTGTGCTCTGCCTCCATGGCACATCAAGTACCTCTCTCAGTTCAGATGGAACAGAGAGAAAGAGTTGGGTGCCATCTGCATATTGGTGACGCTTCACTTCATATCTCCCAATTGCAGCTCACAGTGGCTTCACATGGGGAGGCAAGATGGAACCCTGCAGGACACTATAGTGGTACCTCGGGTTAAGTACTTAATTCGTTCCGAAGGTCTGTTCTTAACCTGAAACTGTTCTTAACCTGAAGCACCACTTTAGCTAATGGGACCTCCTGCTGCTGCCATGCCGCCGGAGCACGATTTCTCTTCTCATCCTAAAGCAAAGTTCTTAACCTAAAACACTATTTCTGGGTTAGCGGAGTCTGTAACCTGAAGCGTATGTAACCTGAGGTACCACTGTACAGGACAATTTCCATGGCACTGGAGAATACCCCTGCCATAAATACCTTCTAGAAATGACTCTGGAGCAGAACCACCGAAGGACACAGTGCATAGTTAAACTATGGAACTCTCTCCCACAGGAGGCAACTTGGATGGCTTTAAAAGATGATTAGACCAATTTATGAAGGATAAGGCTACTAGGCATGCTGGCTATCCTTTGGTCAGAGGCAGCAATGCTTCTGAAACCCAGTTTCAGGAAACTGCAGGAGGGCAGAGTGCTCTTTTGCTCAGGTCCCGATTGTAGGTTTCCCATAACCATCTGGTTGGCCACTGTGAGAACAGGATGCTGGACTAGATGGGCTACTGGCCTGAGCCCACTCAGCCAACTAAACAGTCTGTGATGGCGACTCTGCATTGAGGCCAAATGTTGCCATTCAGCAAAGTGTGATGAAGCTTTGGAGTGCATTAGCCATTCATCCACAACCACAGGCATCTAATGAGTATTGTTTATGTGCCATCAGCAGTGGGGCATGCTCAGGCTTGAAAGACAAGTACACTGACCTTCCCTTCATAATCGTTTACACTCCTTGTTTCAAGGACTCCACCTCAATTATTCTTATGAGTCACTTTATCTTGAAGGAGGGAGAGATTTATTTTTTTAAAAAAACTGAGGAAATTATCAGGTTCCCAAACTTAGGACAGAGTCCTTGAGATGAAAGGAGTCTGTGCCATGGTGAAAGGAATGATAAGCATCACATCACAATGTGAAAGCATGGAAACCGTGAGAGTGGCAAAAGTCGGATAATGGTCAGCATTGTACCGTGCTTTTGCATGTCCAAGGGACGCGGGTGGCACTGTGGGTTAAACCACAGAGCCTAGGACTTGCTGATCAGAAGGTCAGCGGTTCAAATACCCGTGATGGGGTGAGCTCCCGTTGCTCGGTCCCTGCTCCTGCCAACCTAGCAGTTCAAAAGCACCTCAAAGTGCAAGCAGATAAATAGTTACCGCTGCAGCAGGAAGGTAAACGGCGTTTCCGTGAGTTGCTCTGGTTCGCCAGAAGCAGCTTAGTCATGCAGGCCACATGACCCGGAAGCTGTACGCCAGCTCCCTTGGCCAATAAAGCAAGATGAGCGCCGCAACCCCAGAGTCGGTCACGACTGGACCTAATGGTCAGGGGTCCCTTTACCTTTACCTTTGCATGTCCAAAGCACTTCTGCGACATTTATCTTGATGACAACAACCTTGAAAGGTGGGCTATCATTTTTATATGACATGTTGCAGATAAGGGTGGGGGTCTTGAGGCTGATAAATTGTAATCTTCCTACTGTATGTCACAGGTCAGATCTGAGTCAGGGGCTTCATGGTTCATAGCTAAAGTGCTTTTGGTTCTGGGGCAGTGGCTCCCAAATATTTTTGCCCATGGACCACTTGAAAATTGCTGAGGGTCTAAGACTCCAAGTGAACCACTTGGTTTTTCTGCCTGTAATAGCATAGAATTCAATTTGTAATTCAATGAAATACAATGTAAGAAATAAAAGAAGCAATAAAAGTACACTGAATAATCAGTATCAGTATTCAATTTGATGGATGTGCTGTCTTCCATTGTTAACCACAAATCCATGGACATGCAACAGATTATCTGAATGAAGTTCACAGACCACCGTCTGGAAACCTCTGCTCTGAAATATTTCAATGAATTTCAGTCCAATTCTTCATGCCTCTTGTATTTATTGAGCTGAGCTCCAAGCTATGTATGGTTCAGTGCTAGAATTCTCATTTGTGGGGAGTGGAGTAGAGGAGCCTAATTCTCCTACTTTATTATTATTATTATTATTTACATCCTTTTTCAGAAGGTTGTAGGTGGAGCGTCAGGGATAGGGCTAGTGGCTTTCATTAGGGCCCAACTACTCTTCACACCCACACACCAAACAACTAGTTTTGAACCCTTATGGTCCAACTAACACATCACATTACAACAAAATAAATGAGACAAAGATGTGGCAACTTCATTATAAATCGGAATGCTTTTATTGAAAACTGTGAAAAACAATTTGAAGCAGGCTTCCGGTTCCTGTCCCGTGACATGGGGATGGCTCTCTCAACATTGGAGGCTGAAAAAGGGGGTGGAAGGGGTTAAACCATCCCTTATAATGGGCATGGGAGGTACTGGTGGTCGCCTAAATGGCTCGCCCCCTCACGGATCAGCATGGGGACAGATGGAGGCACTGGGTGCTACACACTTTGCTTGATGCGAAACCCCCCCCCCTCAAAATTGCCATTGGATGCAGAAGTTCTCCTTATAGTTGGGTTTTAAATGGCATTAAGAATAGGCATGCACCGGAGGCGATGGAGGTTGTAACTGCAATCAATCAGCTGCATGGAACTGAGATTTGAAATTGGGAGAAGATTTTATCCTGTACTGGAGGTGGATGGAGGAGGAGGGGCCCTCTCTGCTATATTTTACGGAAGTTTTTACATTTATGATTCGGCAACCCTCTCCTAATACTGAATTTTAAGATATACAAGTGAGGATGTTTTGATGTACAATGTAACATTGAGAGTTAAAAGAAGATGCAAAGCTGTGTGCGGCTTGAAAGGAGTAAAGGGGGGGGGAGAACCTGGTTGTTTTGTTTGGCAGGATGTTGTGGGGAGTTAGAGCCTCCCCCCCCCCCCCGAAAAAAAGATTGAAAGAGATCATGGAGATGTTGAGATATAACCTGGGTTGTTGTTGCTTTTAAAGCAAAATGCTATGGTAGCAGCGAAAGGAAAGTGGTGTGAGGGCTTTTTGGATGTTGGAAGAAGAATAGTACTGTCCCTTCTGAGCCAGAGGCAGACATGGCAAATCTCTGGAACTTGTAGATTCTCAGTGTCAGTAGAAGGGAGGCATCGTCTGTTGTCGATTTGGAACTGCTTGAGTATTATGGGAAGGAGCTGAGCCAGAGAAAGAAGAGGGTTTAACCTTGAAGTTGCAGCTCTGCCCCAACTAGGCTGGAATACAACAGTGGGCGTAAGGAGATAGCCTCAAAGGCCGCAGGAAAAAGGAGAGACATGTAAGGCCAAGAGACTAATAATTGACTTTTGGATGTAGCACATCCAAAAAAGCTATGGTTCCTCACTTGAAGCCTTTTTTTTGGAAGTTAAATAATATAATAACATGAATAGAAATCATTAGGAGTGCAGCTGTTAATTATGTGATAATTTTTGAAAAATTGAATGTAATAGAAATAAATAAGAATATGAAACACAGTATTATTAGATCATAAAGATCCATCAGGAATGGTACGCGGGAAGTCTCTTAACAAAAGTGTATTAATTTGGAACTAATCTGTGTAATTGGGTTTATATTGGAAAATCAATAAAAATAATTGGCACTGAAGCAGGAGTCTGGTGTGCCTACTGAGAAGTAGGTTCCACTGAGTTCAATGGGGCTTACTCCCGAGTAAATGTGTACAGTACTGCAGCTTTAGATGATGCTGATGATGCTGAGGCTGATATTTATTAGCCACTTTACTCACAGAGGGACCCAAAGCAACATACATTATAACCAATTAAGAACACCCAATAAATATCTAAAAACACAGCTATACAGATAAAAGGCAGATTATACTCTACTAAAGGAGACCACAATGCTACCCTTCAAATTAAGGGCCAAAAGCCTGAGTAAAGAGAAAAGTATTTACCTGGCATTTTAAAATAGAAACAGACGGTGCTAGGCATACTGTACCTCCCTGGAGAGAGAGCATTCTATGAACTTTCCTTATAATTTTGATGAAATGTTGAAAATGCATATTTGTTAGTGTGAATGCACACTAACCACCCACCCACCTACTTTGCTGCAAATTTAACTTCTATCATTTCTACTTCTGGTTAATATTTATTTATTGCATGTATAGCCCACCTTTTGTCCAGGGAGCTCAAGGTGGTATACACAATACTTCCCCTCCTCATTTAATCCCCACAGCAACCCTGTGAGGTAGGTTAGGCTGTGAGATGGTAACTGGCCCAGTGAGCTTCATAGCTGAGTGGGGACTTCAACTCTGGTCTCCCAGGTCCTGGTCCAACACTCTAACCACTACACGAGCCTTACAGATAGGTGATTTGAAACCAGAAAAAAATGCCAGAAACAAACCAAACAGGAATGAGCATGCTCAGTAGTTACAGAATGCTGTCTGGCTATTGAGAGAAAACATGGAAAACAGGGAGGAGCAACTGAATGGAATGCAGAATACCACATTGCAGAAAAAGTATTTCCAAAGGACAATAGCTAGAACATTTTTGGCAAGAGTTTTCTATTTGTAGGTGGATACGCATTCACCCCTTTCTCTTTTTTCAAGTATATATACTCATTAAGAGATTCCCTGCTCTACTCAAATATTGGTCTATATCAGTGGTTTTCAACCTTTTTAAATCCATGGCTCCTTGACCAACTACATTCTTTCTGCAGCACACCTGTGGGGCTCAGGAGTCCAGTTATGTCACCCCTTGCCTGGCAGCCTCTCACCCTTTACCAAACATTCCCCCTTGTGGAGTGTTCCCTCAGCCTCCTCTCCTCTCCCCTCTCCTTGGGAGTCCTCTGGGCAGCCGCTGCTGCCACCCCTGGTCTCTGAGCTGTGTCCCCCCCCCCCTGCCCCAAAGAGAGGCGCTTCCTCACACTGCCCCACAGGGGCCAGGGAAGAGGATGCCCCAGCCTTAGTGGCCCAAAGGAGGCCAAAGTTGAATGTGAAGCCAGCACCTTACCTTGGGAGGCTGCAGTGGCAGCAACAGTCACTGCCAGGCTTGCATGGCAGAAAGGCTACCCTTCAGCACTGGGCACTCAGCTCCCAGGCAGGCACGGCACACAGCAAGCACAAGAAAGACCAGGGCAGCACCCACTTGTCAATCCATTCCCAGCAGCAAGGGCTGGCAAACTGACTGGCTGGGCTCCCTCACCCACTTGCTTGCTTACTCCAAGGCTGCCGCAGCTCCTGGCAACCAGCACCCCCTGGCCAGCCACAAAGGTACCATTCGCCTGCAGAGCTTGTAGCCAGGGCTGCTGCAACAAACAGCTGTGCAAGCCTTTGGGAGGCAGAGAAACAAGAGGTAATCAGAGGAGAGAGGGAAGGAAAGAGGGACAGAGGCCTGTATTGCCTGCGGCATCGCTGACCACCATTCAAAGCACCCCACTGGCTGAAAACCATTGGTCTATATATCTTCATTAATGGCATGAGCAAGTTTCATGAATGCACATACTTCAAATTCAGTAGATGGTATGAGGAGGGAGAGGAACGGCAGGTTGCAGGTGGCAGCTCGCTGTTCCTTGATCTTGTCTGCATCAAGACTGTAAGGCCTATGTGAAACTTTATAGCAGGAGTAGTCAACATGTTGCCCTCCACATGGTGTAGCCTACAACTAGCATCATACCTGACCAGGTTGTTTTTCTTTCTTTTTTTGCTTCCTGTTTGTTTGTTTTTTAAAAAGAAAAGAGAATCTGCTGCCCTTTAAACTATGCTAAGGTAAAGGGACCCCTGACCATTAGGTCCAGTCGCGGACGAATCTGGGGTTGTGGCGCTCATCTCGCTTTACTGGCCGAGTGAGCCGGCGTACAGCTTCCGGGTCATGTGGCCAGCATGTCTAAGCCGCTTCTGGCGAACCAGAGCAGCGCATGGTAATGTCGTTTACCTTCCCACCGGAACGGTAACTATTTATCTACTTGCACTTTGACATGCTTTCGAACTGCTAGGTTGGCAGGAGCAGGAACTGAGCAATGGGAGCTCACCCTGTCGCAGGGATTCGAACCACCGACCTTCTGATCGGCAAGCCCTAGGCTCTGTGGTTTAACCCACAGCGCCACCCACTAAACTATGCTAGTCTCCTGCAAAAAAGAAAAAAGAAAAAAAAGAGTCTTGTGGCACTAGGAAAATGAACACAATTATTATGACACAAAATTTCATGGACCAGAGTCAACTTTCATTAGTCCACAGAATTTTATGCCCTGATACGTGACCTTGATCTAGAATGGGACAAGCATAACTTTCCCCCCTTCTTTCTGATCTTTCTGTGGCTTTCAATACCACTGATCATTGTATCCTTTTGGATTGGTTCCTTGGGATGGGAATGCCCCCCCCAATTTATAGTGATTCTGATTCTACCTACGGAGCAGAGTTTAGAGCATGGTGATTTTCAGACCTCTGAAAGATGTGCTATGGGATGCCGCTGGGCACCATTTCCCCCCAGCTGTTGGAAGCAGTCACTGAGGGATCGGGGGCAAGTAGCCATCATTATGCTGATGATACCCAACTCTGTTTCTCCATAGCATCTGAATCAGGAGCGGCTGCGCAGGCCCTGGATTGGTGTCTGGATACAGTGTTGGGATTGTTGAGGGAAAATAAGCTGAGCCTGAATTCTGGCAAGACAGAGGCTCTTAGGATGAGTGGTCTTATGCTTGAGAAATTTATCCATCTCCTGTTCTGGACAGTGTTGCACTCTCACTGAAGGAGCAGGTCCATAGCTTTGAGGTGCTTGTGGATCCTGCTTTGCCACTAGAGGCCCATATGGCCTTGTCAGCCGGGGTGCCTTTCACAGGCTATGACCATTCCTGACCACAGTAATTCTGGCACTGGAAACTTCAAGACTAGACTAGTGCAATGCACTCTACGGAGGACTTATTTTACACTTGGTCCAGAAACAGCAGTTAATACAGAATGCTGCTGCACACTTGCTTATAGGAGTGTGTGTCTCTCAGCATATTAAACTTGTGCTAAAAAATCTGCTCCGGCTGCCAGTGTGCCACCAGGCTGAATTCAAGATGTTACTACTGATAAAGTCTTTAATGGCTTGTGGCTAGTTTACTTAAGGGTTTGCCTTGCCCCATATGTATGGATTTGATCTGCAGAACTTTCACGCCTACAAGTGTTATGTAATCTCCATCACAAGTCATGCCTTTAGTGTGGCAGCACCTGTACTTTGGAACTCCCTGACTCTTGACATTAGGCAGGCATCATTATTGCATTCTTTCAGATACCTGCTGAAAGTGGTCTTGTTTTGGTGGACCTATTCAGGTATATAATTGGTTACATGTTTTGTTGTGTTTCATTGTTTTAGATGTTTTTCACCAGTTTTTAAATGTGTTTTTATTTTATATTTAGTTGTGGGTGTTGTTTTTTTATTACAGATGTGTTTGCCACCAAGAGTTCCTTTGGGAGGAGGAGCAGGATAGAAATTTGATAAGAAATGATACATAAAATAAATGCGTTGGCCTTTAAGGTGCCACGAGGTTTGGTGCAAATGGTGCCTTGTGCTGCTGGTGGGCAGGAGTGTGCTGGAGGAACAAGTAGCCTGCCTTGTTGCAGTTTGGGGCAAGCATTAAACTGCAGGTATGAAATGTTGCATGTGTGAAAGAGAGTGGTATGCGAATGGCCTCTGTGGGTACTTTGTGAGAGCAGCAGGGAGAAGAGGATGTGTGGCAGAGCAGCCGAAGATTGACACAGAAATAAATCTCACACCCATGAATTTCTATGGGGGGTCCTTTTTTGTCAGTTCCTCTGCAAAGTTCCTCCTTACTCTCTGGGCTGGAATTGGAGCTGGAGTGCTGCCTGACATGCCCTACTTTCAAACAGATTATTTAAAATGTCACAACAACTGGGATTTTAAATGTTCTCATGAAATGGGTCAATGTTTTAGCTCCAGAAAGAGCCACAACAGTGACAGAGGTGGCTTTGGACCTCTGGCCCTATGTGGTGGCTCCTCATTCTTACTGGATGGCCTCCAAACTATTTGTGCTCACCTTTTGAACTCAGCCCTGGCAAATGTCAGAGATGGAATGTGAGGACAAACCAACTAGGGCAGGGAGGCATCAACTTGGAATTCTATGTGGTCAAGTGAATTTTGCATTCCCCCCATCTCTTGACACTGACACAGCACTAGACAAATATTATTTTCACGGAAAGGATGCCCATTTTTTTACACAGAGAGATGCATTGCACAGCTGAAGGCAGCGCCCAGCCCATGAAGGGGAGATCTAGGCAGGATGCCAGTGCTTTGCAAACAGACAAATTTACGAGCTTTCAGGTACAAACAAGAGTGAATTGTTTTGAAGGTCTGGACTTTTAATATAGCTCTGGAGATACCATCAACCCACACATGCCAAAAGAACACCCTTTGTACCTTGGAGCAAAATGCAAAGCAGTACAGGGACAGCCCAACCTAATAGCCTCCAGTCTTCTGGTGCCCTCCAGATGTTTGGGGCAACAACGGTTCCCCATGCTGGCTAGGACTGCCCCCCCGGGGGGGGAGGGAGTTGTACTGCACAGCTCCCATCAACCCCAGCCAGCACACTCATGCTCCCTTCTTCAGTCATAAGAACATAAGATAGCCTGCTGGATCAGGTCAATGGCTTACCTAGCCCAGCGCCCTGTTTCCACAGTGGACAGCCACATGCCTCTGGGAAACCAGAACCTGAGCATAAGATCACTTTCCCCTCCTATGGCTTCCAGCTCATAGCTGTCAACTTTTCCCTTTTCTTGAGAGGAATCCTATTCCAAATAAGGGAATTTCCCTTAAAAAAAGGGAACAGTTGACAGCTATGTTCCAGCTACTGATATTCAGGAGCATTACTGCCTCTGTCAGTAGAGGCAAAGCATAGCCATTATGGATAGTGGCCAGTGACAGCCTTACCCTCCTCCATAAATTAGTCCAATCCTCTGTTAAATCCATCGAAGCTGGTGGCCATCATTGCCTTCTGTGGGAGTGAGTACCATAGTTTAACTCTGCACAGCCCAAATAAGTCATTTGTTTTATCAGCCCTGAATCTTCCAACTTTCCCTTTCATTGAATGTCCATGAATTCTGGGGAATAAGAAAAAAATCCCAGTATCATGCAGCTGTTCTCTCAAGGACTGATGGGGGCTGTAATCCAAAACATGTAGAGGGCACAGATCGGCACAGGCTGAGGGATCAGAATATGTGTTTACAGATATCTCGAAATGCTCCTCTCTCTTCTTGAAGCTGCTCTGAGTTTGCTTCAATGGGGTCTTCTTGGAATCTAATAATATGTGAAGCATCCCCATTACCCCACCCTCCACCCCCAGTTATGTACCCTCTGATCCATCAGTTTCTTTTCCAAGTTGGCTAACCCTTGCTTTTTGATATGGTATTTAAAGGCTGCCAGAGTAGATTAAAAAGTGTTTATAAAAACATCAGCATAGTAATAAAACAAAACAGCAGAACAGTTAAAAAGTGTCAGCATTAATAGGGTGAGATCTGACAGGCTCTATGCTTTTTTTTTATTTTGAAAATTTTAGGATGCCTGGGCAATAAAGAAAGTCTTTTGCCATCAAACAAGCATCAGTCTTGGCGCCACATGGATCTGCTTGGGGCGGATATTCCCTATCAATATAGGGGAGGGGCGTCACAGCTGAAAATACCCTATACCATGTCCCTGTGTGCCTGACCTTTGGAGGCAGGGAATGCACAGAAGATCCTCTGGGGATGAGTTGGTCAGAATCAAGGGGTAGGAGGTATTTTGCTTGGTCTCTGGGATTCGCTAGGTTGACCACTTACGTATTGATACAACAGGAGGCAGATTTGCATAAGATTTGTCTGTGCTAAGAGCCAGGCTGACCCAAGGAACATTTGGCTCAACTCAGAACCAGCCCCAAATCACACTCCTGCCCACCAGCAGCACAAGGCACCACCTCAAAACCTTTAACGTTTAGAGGTGGTGTTTCTTTTAAAGGGTTCAGATGGTAAGCTGCTCTGTTTGGCTGCACCTGTGTGTTCTCCTGCTGGGAGCAGGCAGGTACAATCAAAGCTCCTTCTTCTCATATGATACCAGGTTCTCTGACTGCCCCAGAGCATTCCAGGAGGTCTGACCTGAGTAAGATCTGTCTAGAGGTGTCCTCATCTGACCTGGCATAGACCCACCTATTGGCCTACTCCAACCACTACACTGCATC